ATTAATTTATTATTATCTACTCCACATAGTTTTCAACCTCCCTTTTGTGGAGTAGATAATTATATATGGTTTTTGTTTGCAAGAAATCTGACATTATGTATTTTAAAAGTATTGAGATGTTCTTGGGGAAAGTTTTATGAAAAACAAAGACGTGAAAAGTAACAAGGAAAAAAAAAAATCATCAAATTATATTAATTAGATTTAACCTCAGTTTTACTGTCTTTGTTGTTTTATTGTTAGAAAATACCAGTCCTATACTGTAAAAAAGAAAAGAAAATAGTGAAACTTTGAGGATTTGAATATAAACTCAAATGTATTGTTCTTTTTTTTTTTTTTTCCTTGTTTTTTTTCCTTAAGATTTATTTTCCGTCTTCTATTTATAAAATTATAAGCTATAAAGAGCCAAGGTTAAATTGTTAACTGAGACGGGAATATTTTCTTGTTTAAATGTACTGATATACTAGATAGATAGATTAGTAATAAACAGTGGAAAACAAATATCTGTCGACTGTGTTTTGTAAACAAAGGAATGGGTTCATATCAGTTTTCAATGATGAAATTAGGAACATGATTTCTTTGTGTCTTTTGTGTATTTGTCGATATGATTTAGCAGTACTTAAGGCTTAACTTTATTTCTAGTTTCTTTGTTCAGTTTTACAACCTACACCTAGTGATTAAACTCCGCAAAACCACACAAAGAAAAATTTTGGTAAATAAAGTCATAGGTTTTGGACCAAGAACATATGGAAAGGGAGAGCACCTTTGGGCTTTTGTGTGTACATGTGGTTATAAAGAGGTGGGGGGGGGGTGAATGTGACTTCAGTTTCTTTTTTTCCTTTGATGTAAGGGGAAGAAGAAATTGGCTGTAAAATATGTAATGCAATATATTATAAATTACACATGTTGAGTTAATTTACATTTTTTTCTTTGATGTTTTTTTCCTCATCTCTTTCCTGAATGTAAAATATTGTTTGTTGTTGTTCAGTTTAACCTGAATATGAAGTACATGGACATAACTGTTCAAGTTCATTTCCAAATTTAGTCATACTATACTTTAATTTTTCCACAACAATTGTTGCTTTATAATAAACAAATATTACTATTGTTTATGCAAAATAAGAATTATGTTATGTTAAAATAAATTATTGGTTACCAATGACAACTATTAACAATTAGCTACCGGTATTAAGGAAAGCTATAGCCAGCAGAATTAATGCTGTGAATCATTTTATGAGCACAGTACATATAACCTACTTGTATTCAAGTTAATCTTGTTCTTTGTGCTGACCTAGCCTATATCTGACTAACTGATAGATCTTATTCATTTACAAGCTGTTTATTTAGCAGTGTATGAATCAAATGATGAATTACTCATTTATAGATGATGTCTCGTAATGAAGGTGTTAATTAAAGCATAATTTGTGATATTGAAATGCATGTTACTGAAGTTTTCTTTGTTCTATACATGTTTTTGTTTCCATTAAATTCTGACTTTGATTGGTACTGTGAAGTCACTGTAGATAGATCATTTATTGCAAAAAGGTTGTAACTTGCTCTGTAGGAACATTCAAGTTAGAACATTGTATTCTCTGTCTCCCTTGTAATGTAAACCAACATTTTCTAAATTGATTCCTCCTCTTTGTTTCCTAGCATCTGTCAAGGTGCCGACTTTGAATCATCCTCTCTAGACACATCTGCAGTGGCTTCTCTTTTTCTATATGTAATTATTATTACTAATTATTAAATTACTAACGGCTGCGGTATAAATTATTAGGACTTCTTGTATAATGTATATATACGTTATTCTGTGTCCAAGGTAAATATATCATAGGGTGACATCATTCTTCTGCTATACTTATTCCTATTTCTCTTTTACTTTGTTTACATTTATTCATATAATAATGATTGTCTCTTTACTATCTTCATTTGTCTTTGCATTCTGTCTTATTTTTAGTCAGTCTGAATTTTGAGATAACATCAAAGTCTTTGAACAAGCAAAATATCATAATATGACCATATTGATATAGTGATTGATTTGTACTGAAATCATGATCATGTAAGTGCTTGCTATAAGTCAGTGACCCATGTCACATGTCACAATAACATCATGTAATGTATAACATATCATAAAATCATATAAATGCACATTAATATAGTGTAATTCAAATGACAGCTTGTTCATTATGTAAATAACACATATTTTCACTTCATGCATACATTAATGAATATAAATATTGTAAAAGTAATGCAAAGTGCTAACCTTGTGTTGTTTGTTAAATAAATAAAATATGAGCGGCGGTTTTGTTTTGTCATTGACTGATTATACTTTGTTGTATTTTATTTTCAAATGTTTTGATGGGTTTTGAAGGTGTGTTTTGTTACTCATTCACACTTAAATATTCAAGGTTTTAATGATATGACATTAGTGATTTTGAAAATGTAATACAAAAAAAATTTTCATTCATGATCATTCACCAACCCCATGAAAAAAGAAAATGAAAATATTCAGAAAAAAAGCTTTCTTTGTGCAATTGATTCCATGTGGGCAAATATTTAACACGTTGCTTTAGCAGTGCATGGAAACTCAACTTTTTTATTAAAACTTTGAAGGATCACAATTATGTAAGTTCCCAGCAATATTATCAAAGAGGCCTTCATAGATTTGTATTTGGTTATTTTTAGGTGAATTTTGCTCAACAGATTACTTTGAAAGTAACAACCTTTATATGGAAAAATAAGCGCGTTCAGAATTCTGCAGAGGCTGTCATTGCCATGTTTAGTTTCACTATAAATGGTGACAGAATTAGTATTTGTACACATATATTTTTCCTAATTAAGAGCATTTTGTATCTTGAAATAGACATTATTGAACTTGCAACCTATCCAGGACATTGTACTGTGAAAGGAGGGGTTGATTTATATAGTTATATGAAGTTGCTGTTATTGATCTATAAACAGGAGCCACAAGGGGAATGATTGCTCATTAGTGTTTTCTCTGATCTTTGAAATTGAATGACATTTCATTCTGTTAATGAGAGTGAAACATTAATATAAATGTAAAGAAAATAAGCGTGTTATTTTTTTTTTTTTTTTTTTTGCTGCTTTACTTTACATAGACTTTATGTTTTGACTTGTGCCCTATGGTTTCTAAAGATAAGAGAATAAGATATGTTCATAGCTCATTACTAATTTTTGTAAGCTTGATTATGTTTGGAAGCTTGAAAATATTTGATTCTTTAGTCTACTCTGGTTGTGACCCCAGTAGGGCATATTGAGACATGGACAGCTAAACCACATATCCACTGCTTACTGTAGCAGATATTATGAATGCTTAATGCTTTAAATGGGCTTGTCCATCTTTTAATATGTGTTTCATCATTTCCAGTGGAATTTCCAGGAAAAGTTTTGACTGAATAGCTAACAGTGCAGACCATTATTATATGGCATGGATGTGCGGACTGATCTTGGTCTGCACTGGTTGCATGGGTAGAATTAGATGCCAGTCTAGCAGGCATAGGGTTTATATCACAGGTTGTTTTAATTCTTAGATATTAAGATCATAATAATATATAACAGTGTATAATAAGTTAGGGTGGTACTCGAGGACTTGGGGTTGGGAAGAAAATAATACCTTGAGGTTGGTTATTGTTGAGATGGGGAAAAAAAGCAAATTTAATAAGTTTTTCAGTCTTTTTAAAGTTAGTTTTAATAATGGGTTATGAGGTGAAAGTACATTTTAAATACTGAACTTTATATTTTGGTACCCAGTCCTTAACTCTCTTTAGCTCCTTGTCTTAAGGTGAATGAATAAAAAAATAGGTCCCAGTCTGCATAGAAAAAAATACTGAACAAAGAGCTTAATGTTGTAATATTGCACTAGTTTGTTTTATACAAAGGGGGATATTATGTGCTTGAACCAGAGCACTGATATTATAGAAGGGAAGGTACAATGGTATGGGAGCGGTATAATATTTTTACGGTCTGCTAAGTCATCAACATAGCAGATTGATTTATTTAGACTCAACCAAAAAGTTGAACAGACAGCTGTCATTTTAGTACAAACAAGTGAACCAAGTCAACTCTCGGTGTTTAGTATTTTCTTTTTTATGTGTCCGATTGATCTATCCCTTGTCTCACCCAATGTTATGCCAGTACATAGTGCTATGTATTATTTAATGAGTGAGTGAGATTTTTTTCCCCTGCAATATGTTTTCTCCGATATTTGCTGGTATTTCTCATTGATTGAACCGATAAGCTCTGACTATATATTGTCAAGTATGCATGATTACTGTTTTATAGCTTTAGCCCAGATTCTAAAACTGCTGTAAAGTACAGATCTTTGTTTCAGGGATTGTTGAGATTTCAAATCAATTCAGAAAACTTTTTTTTTGTTTTACTTAAATTCTGTTTTTGGGTGCAAGTTGTATCATCGTTAGTACTTTATTTTACCAATCTGAACTTGACTATACCAAGGCTAAATTCTTTTCTACAGTCTAGTGTCAATTTTTCCTTTAATATTAATAAAATGGTCTATTGGAGTGGTGGCCTAGTGTTTGTAAAAATTGTTGAGTTACCCCTCAATGCAGGGAAATTGGGTTCAAGCCCTTAACTTGGATCACAACAATGTTATGTTATATGGCACTGGTACAATTGTTAGTTCATTAAAGTGGGCTCATTACTGAAGTTACTGTAACAATCAAACTACTATAGTGTTTAAACTGTTAATATTTGAAGATTTAAGATTAGTATAAATAATATCGAAAAAATAAATGAAATAGCACGAGTCCTATGATCAAACATGACATTATTTTAAATAAATGAATCATTTGAAAGATGTCATTATTTGTTTCTTTAAGCTTTATTGTGAATCACTGTGTTTAATTTATGAAATATCAATAATATTCAGTTTTCTTATACCAGCATATAAATATTTTATGTTTGATTTTATTTTAATAACATTCTTGCAGAGAAAATAATAGATTCCTTAACAGATTGTTTAGATATGTGTTAACGCCATTGATGCAGAGCGATCTCCATAAAATCATCGTATCACCCCAGCCATTGACATCAGATCACGTCAAAGTCTTTCTATACCAAATACTCAGAGGTAAGAGTTATTGATTCCAATTTGTTACATTTTTTTCAATAGTACATCATTCTTGCAGTGTATCCAATAAGGATTTCCTTCCTGGTGATTTGCATGGCCAGAAAAAGCTTCAGGGGTTCTCCCATGCTAATTATTCTTGTCCCTGTCAGCCTCCATAGTTAATTGGTGTTAATGGCTCTGACTTTAACACTTGACCTGCAGACTTTGTGTTATGATTTTGCCTTGTTATGAATTTAGAACATTTCATTTGAGGATTTAATAGATGTAATATCAAAATATAAAACTGGAGCTATCAGCTGAGCAGTATAGAGCCTGGTCAGACTGCAAGGATCTCCAGGCTAGCCTGGCTCTATATTTCTGGCAAATGCTTCCAGTTCCAGCAGGGTAAGGTTTAAAACTTTTTTGCTCAATACAGCAACAAGATACCTCATCTATTTAGTCAATGCTCAATATTTTAACTTTAATTTGAGTTGCTGTATGTTCGCTACATCTTGTTCTGTAGAAATTCTTCCAAATGTATCAGATTTATATAAAATTCTGTGGATACGCTTTGTCTGCGAAGTTTTTGTAGACAATGTCAAGAAATCAAAGTGTCTGTATAGCATTAAAAAAAAGAAATGGCAAAGGCCACAAGAAAGACGCATCATCTACGACCATTTTAGGTAATAACGTTGCTAATTTTGCTCCCAGACATCAGATGAGCGATTATCTCAGACTTTTCACAATTGTGGCTGACTTTTTTATGACCGCAAGGTATCAGTGAAGAAAATTCTGTCACTAGGAATGTTGTGGGCACGGTAACCAGACAGACTAATTGTAATGATAGGTGTACTACTGAAGAAAGTTTTTGGCCAACGATCTCTATGAAATACTATTCCAAGAAGAGAATATTAGACTTCCTTAAGATCAATATAGGTGGCTAGACAAGTTGAGATGTGATGGCATGGTGCACTGAAACATTATGCTTATATATAGTAATTTGTTCATGTTTGATGCATCCATAGTGTTGGTCAAGAATTAAGCAACTGTTACATAAAATTTTAATTGAATTGAAATAAGATTTTGCAGTATGTATTTCATAGTTGCATGCTGGGATGCAGTCAATTTCTCTGTGATAGTGCATATTTTACGATATTAAAACATATCATTTTATCATATTCAGTTTTTCCAATGGGACTAAATTGTCTCCCAAGATGAAAATTCTGCTGGCTTCTATAGATAAATAATTGTGGGTTTGTTTTTTTAATCAGGGCTCTGTAGATATAAATAGGTATATAATATTATATTTGTATATCAGTCAAATCTCACATGAAAAATTTATTGCAGTCCACACAATTACTTTTATAAGCAAATGCAAATCTTGTACAATATAATACATCTGATGCAGGTCTTAGTAACAAATTATGGCATGTGAATAGTTGCGTGTGTACAAAAACACACAAATACGTCATTTATAAAAAGTCATCATATTTTAATAAATCTTTTTTAGCTATCAAAACAATCTAATTTAACCCCAAAAAAAACAACATGAACCTTTTTTTAAAAATAATATTTAAAATATAGGAAAAAAATAAATATTATAATGAATAAAAATTAGATAAGATTGTGCTCAAATTCTCTTCAAGAGTATACTATTTATAGTGTAATAAAATCAGTGATTGACCCAGTTTTTCTCTTCTTTTTTATGCAGGAAATGTTTCTCCCAGATAACTTGATTTCCTGCTCTTCTCTCTCTAGTTATAGATTGTGCAGTATATAATATCTTTAACATGTAAACTATTGGGAAAAGATGGAAAAGTGCTCCCAATTTTAGACAGTCTTTTGTTGAGTGCATTTTTTTACAAGAATAATTTATAAATACAAGGAAGAAATTGACCTACTTATTCATGTTGAGAAACTTACAGATTTTCCAATTGGCAGGGTTCTAATGGGGGAATTTAGTTCACTTTGATTTCACAATGATTAGTCTACATTTTATTGTTATTATAGATGCTTTCATAAATGTTTCATGAGGTGACATTTTAATTTCTCCATGGCTAAAGTAGTTGCTGCATACTGTAAAAGCATATTACTTTAGCTGACTTTATTCTCAGGTTTAATAATGCAGCTGTGCCTGATTAGCCCATATTCTTCAAACTTTGTGCTTTTAATTTTGAAACAGCCTGTTTGTAAGTTTTCAGTGATTTCACTATCAGAATGCCTTGTATAATAGATAGACTAAAATAGACTCAAGTCAAAATAGCTGGTCTTATTCTGATTGTGTATCACACTAAATATCTTAAATGGACTTGCCCATCTCTCAATCTGGACAAAACCATTCATCATTTGTAGGGTTGGGGGGGGGGTGTTCAACACAGTCTGATTGAATGGGTTGAATCAGTTGCAGTCAGCAGCAGGCTTAGGGTTAAAAACCGAAAATTTGCTTTGTCAGCATTTCTATTGCAGTTTTTACTTATGAAATGAACAATTTGGCACTAATTTAAGCCAAATTTCCCATTTGATTGTATTTTTTTATTTCAAAATTGCAGCAATTCATGGATTCAATTGGAAGTTTATCATAAAACAATTCATGTTTTAATTTAATACAGAGGCAGTTTAAGCAGTCATGTGTTCGGATGTCAATTTACAATTGTGCACCTGCACTTTAGACTGCACCATTAATTACCCGTATCAAACCTGAATTTTGTAGTATAGGAATGTTAAATATGATACATCAAACAAGACAAGGATAGATAAGCTAATGATTTCCAATGCAGAAAGATAACTTTGAAATTCTTTATATTGAGGGGGGTATCTTTAAATTTCACATTCTTTCACCTATTAACTTACTTTTGAGAGAAAGAAAGAAAATCTCGGTAAAATATTACAATTTTTTTTTTTTTTCAAAAAAAAGCTAGAGAAAACAGGTTTGTGCAGAATTAGTTCAGTTTCTGAAACTTGATAGTTCTGTGTGTCATCTTTTTGTTTTTCTGTTCGAGACAGACGACAACATCCGTAATGTGATTCTTTTCACTTTTTCTGCAGCATTAAGACATATAAGGCATAAACACGTGCAAGGCACTTGTCAGCATAACAAATTTTTTGTTTAGCCTTTTTTTTTTATTCCTGAAAGTTTCTCATGCCAAAGTAATTAGGCACTTGATTTTCTTAACCACGATTTAGTTATATTCACATTTAATGTGTTGATATAAAAGATAGAATAAAGTGGACTAGCTAATGTGAGAAGGTTGATTTGTGTTAAGATTGTTCCAAGGCAGTTGAGCATAAGTCATGTAGAGTTATGCCATGATTATAGGGCCAGCTAATATAAGTGCAAGGTTACTGTAAAATTTATTAAGGCCTCTTTTTATACAGTCAGGTAGTTCACATGTTCAAAGAATTCCACTTATTATAATCATGAAGGCAGAAAACTTTAATGTTCCCTGCTGTTATTGAGACAGTGGTTTTGCATTCATGACCTTTTTGATAGCTTCAAGGTCACTGGAACTCACAAGTAAAATAGAATTTTATTTCCATAAAGTCAATGCTATTGGTTGTCACACTTTGCATGTATATTTTACACTGTTTCTTTGTTTGATAAATATTATATCTAAAATGTTTACATTGTTCTCATGTTTTGTGTATTTTCTGTATCATTTCAGGTTTAAAATATTTACATTCTGCACGAGTCATACATCGAGATATCAAACCAGGAAATCTTCTAGTCAATAGTAACTGTGTTTTAAAAGTAAGTTTTGTTTTGTTTCTTGACATGCGACATGTACTGTACTGTTTCCAATTACAGCACCTACCCTGCATGTTATTTAAATTTTTCAATTAGTGATAGTTGAAAAATCTGGTAGTGATATTTTAATATTCTTTTGAGTTCAAAATGTAGTAAGAAAAAAGAGAGATTCATATACAGTTTGAAATAGACAATTTACATGTACATTATAGAGTGAAATATTTTCTTGTTATAAGAAAGAAAAATCAATTAGAATTGATTCAAAAAGTGTGCAATAAGATTTTAACTATTGTTATATAATTATATGGTTGTTAAAATTTCTCTAGTTTGTTTCAAAGTTACTCTTGAGTTCTGAGGGTAAAAAGTTCTGAAGAAGGTAAAAGGTTTTCAAGAGCCCTGGCCCTGAAGTTATAAAACTTATTTTTTCTGAGTTCTGTCTCAAATCTCAGGAGTTTCATTGGCCAGTGTAGGTTCTGTGGGAGTTTTTGGCCAATCAAATACCTGAGATCTGAGCTTGAGCTTAGAGAATTTCTTTATAACTTCCGACCCTTTATAGTGATAATGATATATAAATTTTATTACAGATATGTGATTTTGGTTTGGCGCGAGTTGAAGAGCCAGACGAGTCAGTTCACATGACACAAGAGGTTGTAACACAATATTATCGTCCACCGGAAATCCTTATGGGGACCAAACACTACACCTCCAGTATAGATATATGGTCAGTAGGGTGCATCTTTGCCGAACTGTTGGGCCGTAGAATCCTATTTCAAGCTCAAACACCCATTCAACAGGTAAATACTCTAGAACATATACTGCCTTCCTACATAGCGGGCTAATGAAAGGTCAGTGCCCCTCTCTGTATTAGAAGATGACACCTGGGCACTTACATATGATAACTTGAATGTTGTCATACAAGCAATAGTATGACCAGAGGGGAAAAAACATAACCAGAAAAAAAAAAGAAATAAGTATTTACTGTACAACAGACATATTGGATTTAAACAAGTTCAGCCAGTTTTTATATGAAAAAAAAACAGAACATGTTAGATATCATTATCTCATTGTAATATTACAGCTTGATCAAAAAATCATAATTTTTTTCTGATAAAAAATGCTGAAAATTGAGTTAATTTTCATTCATAAGATTTTGAAACAAGTGACATTTTCAAGCTTATTCTACCATTACTGTCTTTACAATAACTGTCCATGTTCTGAATTCACTGTTCCTTTACTTATTTTGGGATTTGTCTCGGATTTTCTAGTGTAATCATAATAAAAGGTCTAATATTTTAAAAATGGTATTTAATTTATATGGATATCTGTTAGTGTTAATAACAGAATAATGTTTTTATTTACAACTACATAGATACTGAATGAAACAATTAATTGATTTTAATGTATTTTTATTAAAGTTGGATCTCATCATTGAACTATTGGGTTCACCGAGTCTGGAAGAAATGCGATCAGCATGTGAGGGAGCTAAGACTCATGTTTTACGAAGCGCACATCGGCCACCATCATTAGCAGCCTTGTATACTCTCTCAAGTCAAGCAACACATGAAGCAGTCCATCTACTATGTAGAATGCTCGTCTTTGACCCTGTAAGTAAACATGCTGTACATGTTATATGTACTGTGATAAATCGGGTTGGAACATGTCCTGAGCTTGTTTGGAAAATTTTCACTTGTTTTGCTTTATTTACAATTCGGGTTGTCCTGAACATGTTGGAAATTTTTATCATTGTTTATTTGTGGCTAAATCTGAAATCTGCTGTATCTTTGTAATCTTAATCTTTGCAACGACTGTAGAGTTAAATGTTGTTAGAAACAGTAATGACAGTCTAGGTTAGAAATTTGTATTTGTTTCTGTAAAAAATGTCATTAACACACCCTTGTGGCTGAATAAAATAAAGCACCGGGCATCTAAGGTCTTCCTACATAAGTAAAGCTTGAAAAAAATCGTTTTATAATGAAATCAACTTTAGATAAGGTTTTTATGATATAAAACTTGACTTAAAAATACTATTTTCATTTATATTGATATATAAACTTTGACTTTTAAATTTAATTTTCATTTTTTCTCATCATTATAGGACAAGAGAATCACTGCGGCAGACGCATTAGCACACCCGTATTTAGACGAGGGTCGGCTACGATACCATTCCTGTATGTGTACATGTTGCCATAATGTGGGTGGGGTACGACATTACACCAGCGATTTTGAACCAATATGCAAAGAACCATTTAGATATGACTTTGAAGATGATCTAACTTCTGTCTTCAAAGTAAAAGGTATCAAAGAGTTGTTTCCCTTGTCTTTTCATTTTGAAGTAGATTATTTTTATGACTTGAAACCAAATATAAGAAATGCTCAAAACTGTGAATATTATATTCTAAGCTTATGCATAGGATATTGGCAACAAGTTTTTTTTTCGTTTAGTTACGGCTTGAAAAAATTGCAACAATTCTTTTACTGTATATGATTTCTTAATATTATATTCTGGCAATTTCCACATGGGTATCTTTACCCATCTTTATGGACAATCTGTAGTCAATGTTCATGAATTAAGTATCAACTGAATAGTCAAATTTAGCCTACTGTCTTCGTGAATGACTGAAATCTTTAAGTGAATGTTTTTGTTTAGGAAAATATAGATTTGAATTTTCGAACAAATTTTTTTCAAATAGATATGTCTAACATCTTTTCACTTGATAATTGTTTTCTTTTCCCCCATTTCAGAGAAGCTACACAAATATATTCTAGAACAGCAAAAGGGAAACAGTCGTGTGCCTCTATGCCTTAATCCAAGTTCCATATCATTCAAAAACTTTGCAAAGTAAGCATATTATTTATGCAAAACATAAGTGTAATAAAGGTGTATTAAGAATTCTATATAGATAAGAATCTTGAAAATATTAAATGGAATTATATGCATAGTGTGTAAAGAATCAAGTTACGTGTATTGTATGGATTAACACAGCATTTTATGAGAGGATTTAGTGAATTATGATAAACTACGGTTTTGTGTACAGTACATACACACTGTATAGTTGTTTTTAAGAAAAAAAACATAATTTCGTTTTAGACAGATTTAGATTGAATAATCTGTAAAATTCATGGGAAATCATAATATAAAGATAAGGACAATATAGCACCGGCTTTAACTTATATACAGAAGTATAGTCTGTTTCAGGGAAAACTGTGTTTGTTCAGCAGTTTTCATGATTGTTAGAGCTTTTTTATTTGCTTTCGATTTCGTATTATTTCTCTCAAGTTGTATATTTTTTTCGTTAACACTAGTTAAAATCTACTAATACGTGTTACATCTTGTTATGCTGCTTTTAAGATATAAAAAGCCAGATTGTATGTAGCCTAGAAGTTTCACAGATAGCAAAACAACATCACAGAAACAACTTCAAATAAAAAAATAACTACGTCTTGCTTAAACAAATTCCTCCTTTTCTGTTGAAGGGAGTTTAGAATCGAAACATTTGACCTGATCAATAAATAATATATTAATAAGAGTGAATTGCTGATTTTGATTTGAATAATTACGTCATCAAAATCAAATGATGTAACTTATTGTTTTCAACAATTTTATTTTATTTATTGATAATTTAAACATAAATTTTAAAGTTTTATTTCTTGCAAAACCCTGAAAATATTTATTTTATAACCAAACTGGTTTTAGTATTTATTCTGGCTTTTTCCCCCTTTCACACTTAATATTTGGAATGAGTTGAGTTTTATGTTTACTGCCGCATGGAGTTATAATTTTTCTTTTTCTTTTGCAATTTTGCAGCTCTCAGGTTGCCCAACCCTCGGAACTGCCTCCGTCACCGCATGTCTGGGAATGACCAATGTGATCTCGAAATACTGCCAAATATTTATACATACAAGTTGTGTTTCGTACAAAGAAACATGTATAACTCTGCAATTCCAAAAATACAAAAGAGACGTATGGAAGGGATGATGACTGAAGACTTAAAGCTTTATACAAACAATGAGGACCAAAACTAAAAACAAATCGCGAATCAAATCGGCAGCCTAGTCTAAGATGTATGAAAGCTTAGTTACGAGTACAAAAGGTGGCGTATAAGAAGAAAAAACATTTTTACTGGTGCATTCTGGGATATATGTGAAAATGGACACTTGCTAAGATATTCCCACAAGTGATTGCAACTCTTTAGTGAAGAACCATTGTATGGATACATGGATTATTTTGCCTTTTGTTTGCGTATTTAATAGATGTATGTTTTAAATGGTGTTTGCTACCTGTAACCTTTTCTACTTTTTTTTTTCTCAGTTTTTGAAGCTTACAAAGGTTTGAGTTTGTTTTCCTTGTTCAAATTATGTTATAGCATAAACAGAAAGTTTTCTTAGCTGGAGTGATTTTTCTGTGTATTACTAACAGTAGTAGATAATGTTTTATGTAAACTAAATGGTGCTTTCTAGGTAGCAAGTTGAAAGTTTGTTTGGAATTCTTCTTCTTTAATTGTATCTCCCTTCTCAAGTACTTTATTTGGGGTTTTACTGTGAATTGCATGTAACAAAACTTAAGTCGGTAATTAGTTGAATGCAACTCACTGTACATAATATTATATGTTAAGGAAATGGGGGGGGGGGGGGTTACGAAGCTGGTACATTTTGGTATAATGAACATAAATATAATTGAAACTAAATTAGAATAAATGTGGTGATGACATTAGTTTTATAGGTCAGTTAATGCTATGTACATGTATTTTCCTGCATTTTACGTCACAAGTTTTATATGTACTCTCACTTTCTTGATCTCACGCTTTTAATGTGTCCATTTATGTCGATAGAATATGTTTACACATATGTATGCCATATTGTTGTGTACATTACCCCTTATCTATAAGAACATAAGTCTTATTCTCTTTTTATTCTATTGAACATTAACAAATTTAATATTGTAAAAGGTTGTTATAAAAACGGGCCAAATTATTACTTGTATCAAGGAATATTTGATTTAAAAGATTCGTTCAATTGTAAATAATTTTACTTGTTTTCTTAAGCTCACCAATTTTGGCACGAAGGTGATTTAAATAGTGATGGCTCAAGGATTGATTAATTTTGTGAAAATAGTAACTTTATAAGATATTATTGGATTATGTTTCATAATATTAGTAAACCATTATATCAAACATAGATTTTGATCCTCGGTGAATGTGAAATAAGAAAGAATAATTGGCCATTGCAGTGATCTGAAGTATTAGCTTTAAAAGCAAGAATAATTGATATGAATTTAAGGAATATACTTTATAATATGATGAAATGTTCATTAATATATAAGAGGTAAAAGACGATGCGTAGATTTTCTGATACTCTGGAAATATAGAGAGGGGATTATGGTATATAAGTACTTTGATACGTGAAACAATTAACATTGTATGTACTTGAAACATTGACATTTTATGTGCCGACTATTTATTATAAAGCCCAGCTGTATTTAAGTCGCTAAAAGCTACATAAAGAATTTAAGAGAGTAAATGCACTTTATGGTCATGACAATCTACGGAAATATTCGTTTGTTTTAAACGTTAAACTCAGGGTAAACATGCTTGCAAATGAAATTGCTACAAAAATAATATTTCCATGTGTGTGTACATTTAGCAAAAAAATATTTCATGTATGTTGCTGAGATGTATGAATATTTAAATGCAAATACAAAGCTGATTGGTTCTCTTACTTCATAGCTCCGCCCACTTGTTGAATAATTGATTTGAGATGTAAACTTGAAAGCTGGAGACATATCTTGTTTGAATTGAGTCGTTAAAAAAAAATTAAAAATTTTTTGTTCACTTCCTGCTAGCTTTCATGTAACTGTGTATGGGTCAAGTTTCTTAACCAACCTTGTATAAAGTTCATTTACAAGAGTGATAATGTTGATTGGTTGACTGTACAATGTTGTACATGTATTGAGCAGGGTGTTTAGACTTTAAGTAAACAGATTCTGGTAGCTGTGCAATGTTATTTAGGATTTTTCTGTTGGCAATAGTAAACAGATAGGTCAGTGAATGATGTTGTAAATGCTGAAAAATTTGTTTAACTATTTTTCCTGATATTACATCTACAAATGCTTGTAATATAAATTATTCATATGTAGAATGTGAAGAAAAAAAGTGATATTAATATATTAATGTTTTTTTTGTAAAACAAAAAAGTGAATAGTCCCACCATTAATAAAATATTGTTTTTAAAAGCATTAACAGCAAGTTATAGATTAAAAAATTGATAAGAACGTCAATTTATTTAGATTTGTTCTCGATATATACATATATATGTAAGTGTATTTTCTCTAGGTTGTTTCACTGCATCATTTCTTGTGTGTGTGTATATATGCAATGAAATATGCATATTTATTATAAACAAAATGGTGCATTGTCAATACACAAAGTGTAGAGAAGTTGGGAGAAGAATAAATGTAAACATATCTAACGAGGTTATCATAATGTGTGAGACGCATTTTGGAGAGAAAAAATCAAATGTGTAGTAGTTCGACCACATAATGTCATTTCTGTATAAAATCATGTATGGAATCGTGTATGATACGTGCCAGTGGGTCAATATACTGACAAACTGATGTATCAGTGTTCAATACTGTCTGAAAATTGGTTAATTAATAGAACAAATATATTAACATCATTGTCTTCAATTTTGATGTGTGCATTTATTTTAAATTGAAATTAATTTGAAAAGGGAAAAGCCATATTTGGGTCATATATTTATGACGTTGTAAAATGATTCCAGTTTGATGAGATGATGAAAGCTAAGCTTGATGTACAGGATGTTTTATTTATATTATTTCTTTCCAGTAATTGTACATAAAAATTTGCTTTCTTCTTTTTCTTCGAGGTCTGCTGGACCAAGTCTACTTATTATATATTGTCAAAAAGAAATGCAAAATTGAATGGAGATCAACCAAAGATGCCAATTTTGAATCTCCAAATTTATATGTATATAGTTTCTTGAATAGTTTTGTTTTATTGCATGTATTAAGATTGTGATTATCCATTCTTGTAAATCAGGAAAGATTTTTTTTTTTCGCAATTGGACAAGGGTATGTTGAAATATTCAATTGGTTTTTGAAGTTGTCTACATTTGAAAGTGTCGGTCCTTTTTCAATTACAGAGAAGGGACTAAAAAAAATTTACTTTCGCAGATGTCATTTAATTTTTGTGGCAAAAAATGAAATAGCTGAAATGAATTTCTCTTTGTAAATGAAGAATTTGTACAGTGTAGTGATATTTTATATTAAAGTAGCATTAGAATCTGATTTTTTATCACCATCTTTTTACTGTATGTAATAAGAGTAAAATCAAGGCTTCTAGTTTATATACCGTAAATAGTTGTGATCACTTTGCCTTACATATTTTATACTGGTTATAGACATGTAGATCCTTTTATGTCCAGATTTAAAAAACAACAACATTTTATTTCTGATCCATTTTATGCGAATTGCAGTCAGTTTTATTCTGTTTTTGGTCCTTGTTTAAAGTTGGTATTTGCATACAAAAAAGTTTTTCTTAAACATTTTCTGTTATTATTTGGAGTGTACATAAGAAGTTAAAACAGGTAAAAGATAATGGCCCTGCTGTTTTAGTTATTCATTTTATATTAGTTTTTGTTAACAAAAAGAATGTTAAAGTGACAACTTTACCCAAATTATAAATTATTTGCCCAGAATATAAATAATAACCAGCATTACAATATAATAGATAAATTTTGAAATTTTGTTTGACTCGTATAAGACAATGACATTTTCTCTTTTAATGCTTGAAAAAGGTTTATTCTTGATAAAAGATTTATTTTTAAGGCACCAAAAGTTCCCTTTGTAATTTTGCATGTATATTAAAAAGGCTTATTCTTATTAAATTTATATGGAATTTACCCACCCTGTTTAAAATTGTGCTAGAATTTGTTTATTAATTATACATATAAAACACACAGATATAGTAGCTTATGTGAGATGCTCTTATCCAAGACTTTGTGAGGGAATAAAATTGAAAATCTAAGGTATATTTTCCTTTTGGTTCTGTTTTTTAAACTTGATTTGGTGTAAATTTGTGTTTCACTTTCTCATTAATATGGAAAAAAAATTATACAAATTAAAAATTCTCTTTAAACTGGAACATTGTCATATGTTCAGAAAATCTATTTCAAGGAATTTGATTATATCCCAAAAGGTAATCCAATTTTTGAATGCATATGCATTTTTTTGAGACCTTGTTTAGTTGAGAATGATATTGTTTAGGTTTGAGGTTTTATTTTCTGGCCTAAAATGAGGACATGTTCAATATAACGGCATACAGTGGCAGTGAACACTGAAAGAAGAAAATATTAGAGAAATTGTATATAGAAGTATATATATAGATATATATATCTGCAGATAGCAGTGTGTATTAGGGTGTGAGGTTTTCATGTATTCATTTGTATCATATATGTCATAGATTAGATGTTTTTTCTAAGGTGATTCTACGTGTTTGTCTTGTATTTGACAAGAGTTGTTCCCCCTCTAGCAGTTAGGCAAATTCCAGTAATATGTTGTAGTATTGTCAGAACTAGTTTTAAACTAATGAGAAATAAAATTTGGAGGATACGTTTTAACAATTTTCTTTGATTGAGATTATGAAATGAATGGCTACCATTTTAGCTGGTAGAAGTAAGAAGGATGGTCTTGGATTTACAGTTAAAATGTTACTCTCTGGCATGTTACAATGGGGATTCTTCATGATGTATCATACGTTTGATATATTCTTATTGAATAATTTAAGAGATATATTGAAAGAAGTTGATTATGGAGGTCATGGTCTGTACAGTTCAGTATTATGTTGATCTATATTTTCAATATTTCCCTTAAATGATGAATGAGTTTGTCCAGATTAAAAGATGGACAAGTCCATTTAAGATATTTGGTGGGGGTATTTGTTAATACTGCATTATTTAAACAGAATCCAAGAACAGTTCTTAACAGCTAGCTTAACCATCAACTGAAAGTATTATATGACAGAAAAGCTGAGTTAAAAATTGACAAACATTGAAGTTTTGCTAAAAAATGTGTCAATTATTTGGGGCAAACAGTTTTATACAGTTTTACGTAAGAAAAATAAATCTTTTCATATTATCATCATATCCATCACACAGATCATGAGAAAATGTATAGTTGTATGTACAGAGATGTTTAAATTACTGTCATTCCAGATTCGTGTACATATTCTGTGATTATTCTTTTTTCTTATTTTTTCAAAGGGAGTGTTATTCTTATTTTGTCCATCTATATTATAGTCGAGTATGTGATTATTTATATGTGTACATGTAGATTTGATGTAGTTTTTTTTTCATAAGAAGGGAATTTTCAAACTTCCGTTACATTTATTTATGATAGTTGATTTTTTTTTTGAAGTGTTGATAACCTCAGATAAAGCAATTATAAATATAGCTTTGTTTCCTTTTTTAGACCTCATACGTTATTATTACTTTTCCTGTTAATAAAGCAGATATAAATACTTGCAGATGAAAAAAAAAGAAGAAAATTGTGGTTAGAATCCATTAGAATTTTTTCAGTGTTCTCCAAATTGGTTATAATGCATGAAATTGCTTTTTGTTCATAACTATTTTTTGTGTGAAATTATAAAACTAATACTTTATATACTAGATATGTACCATATTACTTCAGACTGTGTGCAATTGAATTTTTTACTTGTTTTCTTGTTGTTTTTGTTTGGGTTTTTTTCGCTTAGAAAATAACTTCTTTTTTTTTCTTTTTTTTTCAAAATTATGACAAGCTTTTATTTACAGGTAAAAAGTCCGTCAAAAAAACAAAAAATTATGTAATTTTTTCATTATTTTTATATAGTTTGTAGAATGGGGTTCTGAAAATGTTTAAAGTGCATGTTGGTGTGTATATTTCTCACTTGTATTCATACTCATAATCATTTCATATTATTCAAGCACTTATCGAACATTTTGCACAACCCTCTCAGGGTGAAAAAAAAGTCCTTTTTTTGTAACTTTTGATTTCCACAATGCTTTTGCATTTTCTATTTGGTGTTTACATGTATTTATATGAAATATTGTTAGTGGTGTATGTTTCTAAAAACCTGTACATATTGATGTTATATTTGGAGCTTAGAGACTTTGTTGTTTGCCCTATACTATAGCCAGTGTCCCCATCCCAACACCCCCTTTTTATTCAGTCCTGAAAAGTTGTATGAAAGATGAACAGAAAAACTGTTGTATCATATATACATATATAAATATGAGCCACGTCATGACAAAACCAACATAGTGGGTTTGCGACCAGCATGGATCCAGACCAGCCTGCGCCTCTGCACAGTCTGATCAGGATCCATGCTGGTCGCTTACCAACCCTTTTACAAGTAGAGAAACTGATAGCGAACAGCATGGATCCTGATCAGACTGCGCGGATCCATGCTGGTCGCAAATGCACTATTTTGTCGTGACGCGGCTCATATATGTAATCAGTTACACAGTTCTCCTGTTCGATCCTTCATACACAATATCTAACTACCTCTTACGGTGCATATTTAAGGCAGTTTTGAAAAAAGAAAATTTCACTCGTTATTAAATTACATGAGACCAAGTCTGATGAATTTATTCATAATGAGTTTTCAAACACATTTAAAATGTGCCTAAATTTTGAAATTGACATACATGTAGTTCTATGTATAAATGTTTTTTTTGTTTTTTTTGCTTAAAAAGAATTGCCTCATACTTTGCATTGTGATAGGTAGGATTAAAAGTAGTTTTGTGTAATTGCTCTTGTTTGATGATCAATCATTTTCACACGATACTGCTTTCTATATGTATCAATAATAACCAATTCAGTAAACTTCTCTTCCAGTCCTAGATAGGTGTCATATTTAAGCCTTTATCCAAACCATCTTTGAAGTGGTCAGATAAGACTATACTGTACCCTGACTGACTTGAAAAAATTCATTTCATCTTGATATCTGGAAAATTGATAATGGACAGTTCCAAAGATGGAAGCCAGACAAGTCCATTTAATAACTTCATGAATTTAAGTGTTATGGAAGAATGGGTATCAGGACTGGGAATGTCTGGTCATCATTATAGAACTGTTACTATTGTGGATAGATGAGTGTACTAATCATTAGTAATTTTTGATAGAGATTTACATGTTAGCATATTGTGTGGAATCAAGTTCATGTAGCTGTGTCTTTTCAATTTTTTATATATATATATATAAATTTCAGATCTTTTTTTTTCTAAATGAAATTTTTGTCCTTGCAATTTATTTTGCTGGTCAAACATTGTTAAACTAAAAGGGTTTTATACAAGATGATAAAAAGAATGTTTTTACAGTAGATAATAAAAAAAATGGACTGTAGATTTTTATGGGAAACTTTTTTATTTTTAAAAAATCGTTTCCAAGGAAGTTGACTTTTGATAGGTTTTTTTATTTGGAATCTTTTTCTCAGAATTCAAAATTTTATATTGTAAGTATAATCAGGTTGATAAAAAAATATATTAGGTTTATGTAAAACTTTGGACAAATTGAGAAAACAAAGAAAAGAACTACATAGCTTTTGCTGATAGGTATTTGGCTTTGTGTGTGTATCATTATTTATTTCCATTTTAAGAACTATTTGTTCTTCTTCATTTCCAGTATTCCTTTAAACTGCATGTCTTTATTGTCCTATAAAAAACAACATAAAACACTGCATACCAAGTTCTTTATTGTCAGTATTTAATAAAATCTTCATATTGTCATGCCATACTTCATATAACATTGTAATAAACTTGTCTACATTTCAAACAAAATGCACATCATGTGTACTAGACCTGTGTAAGAAGTGAATGCTATTTTTAGAACCTATATGTTGATGTGTAAACACGAACAAAGTTAAGTATTGTGATGGTCATCCACAAAACAAAAGCATTTAATCACAAATTGTTCATATACATGTAGTTTATTGTTCATCCAGACACATTTTTCATTTAATATGCAAATTACAGTTTTATATTGTAATAAAATATTTCATACTGTAATAAAAATTATTTCATACTATGTTCGATATTCTTTTTGCTTTATTCAACCTTGTTTGATCATCAGGAGATAATTGAGTTTTGAACTTGAAAGAAATATGTTTGTTTCTGAATTGGAAACAAAGCATAAGGGGCAGAGCCACCGTAGACAACGGGTAATTGTTAGGGTACCTTATCAACATTGATCAAATGAAAGTTTTGTCAAACTTTTATGTAAGTTTATGCTAATATATTAACATATTCAGTAACATGTATAGTGTGACTGTTGATTGGTCATATAAATGATATTGAACTCTGATTAACGAGATCCCACAAGAGCAATAAAAACTATCGATGGCATTATTATCAAGTGCTTAAGGTGCTGTGACAAAAAGTGATTAGCCTTGAACATGGCCATACTGCACATCTGTATACCAGGCTCCATATTATTAGATGCTCAATTTTTGTATTTTGACATTCAGTTCCTTAAACTTTGTACAAACCGTTTCAAAATCAAAGCATGGAAAACACACTTTCAGCAAGCTATTGGAGACAAGAACACCCTGGAGGTCAAATAAAAGTGAAGACCAGTCCATAGATAGTAGCCTTTTTTTGGTTATTTTGTGTCTGCATCCATAACAGGCTAATCAGATTCATACATTTGGTGTACAGTCCACAAACAACATTTACTATAAAAAAAATCTTGTTTGTTTGTTTTGGGTTTTACGTCACATCGACACAGTTTAGGTCATATCGCGACGTTCCAGCTTTACTGGTGGAGGAAGACCTCAGGTGCCCTTCCGTGCATTATTTCAGGCACGAACGGGTACCTGAGTAAAAAAATCTAGAAGAATGGTGATCCCTCGAAACTTGATTAAATACACTTGTTTATATACTATATCTAGTAACAAAATTGACTGTTTTCAACTGATTACCGATTATAAGAGTGCGGTTTTGGATGAAACTTGTCATCTGACTCGTGCAAAAACAAAATGATGTTACATTTCACATTATCGAACAGCTAGCTTTAAAGAGAAATAGGCTTTTACAACTGATCGCGTAAGTTTGGGGACATAAAATATTTTAAGTCCCAGCTTGATTTTAACAAACTCAGTTTTATTGAAATGAAAATTAAACTTTCACCCACATAAATGAAGCAACTGTGTATAAGTTACTACATACATACAAGTACAGATACGGAATTTCAACAACTGAAACATCAAAATAATTAAAGATTAGTGTCGTGCACAGTACTCTTATGTCAAGACATTAATACACGTCAGAGGCGGGTTGGAAAGTGATTATTGGCCCTGAAACGAATAATACCCTCTTGTCAGTATTCATTTAACTGGCCGATTATCACCTTGCGGCCCATCTCTGCCGCATATTTCCCTCACATTCTCTTTTTCCATCGGTATATGTACTTTGTGGAGAATACACATGGCATCGGCCGAGGGACAGGACGTGAAGTGGTATCAAACTTTATTCAAGCGAGGGAAATGGTTGCAAACTTGACAAAATAATAGTCATGAAAATTTATAAGGCCCGCAAGTCTTTTATTTTATATATCAAATACATTGTATTTTTGTCACAAAGTCTGTGTCCAAACAATTTATTTAATTTTAATTCCTTCCTTGTAAAGTTTTGAGGAGCATTGGGGCTAAAGAAAATTCAGAATAACAGAAAATGCATCTCATAATTTATTGGAAAAAATATTCATGTTGAAAAAAAAAATCGTCCAAGGCTGGAAACGGTCATGTTTTAATCTACTTACGTAAATAACTATTTTTATAAATACACGCACCTAACTCGTACCACGGTAATAGGGCGTTTACCGCAACGTCAAAGTATCTTACTTCTGTCCCAGACACGGTATTTTTCTGCAATACAAAATGGACAGCAAGCCTATAAACGAGACGAAAACAGAAGATTGTTTGCTCAAACAAGGTAAAATCATCATTTCTTCTTTTTCATTGAATTCGATTTGAAACTTATTTATCTTTATCACACACCCGTGCCGATTTTGCGACTCCATAAATATGGTATTGCAAGGTCGTGCATATATGTTGACCTTATAGTTATTGGCGTTATACAAACATAGTGTAAAGACGCGCTAAATGTTGGTTATACTATAGGCGCGTCAATGAAAAATGACTCTTATTTCAATTTGAACGGTCTTTATTTTGGGTATGTGATAAAAAGAATATTAAATTCGTGTAAGTTCATTACTGAATTTATTGCACTCGTTGAATCAAATAATATTATGCTCGCCAGAGGCTCGCATAATATAATTTTATTCAACTCGTGCAATAAATTCAGTATTGAACTTACACTCATTCAATATCCTCTATTTACTACATGCAAAATGCTTCACTAACTAAACATTTAGGGCATACTGAAAAAAATCTTGCTTTAATCATGAAATATTACGTCTTTCAGTCCATATAACTGGTCAAGATACTATATATTAATAATATCTGTCAAATGTTGCGGTTCGGACCGGAATATCCGTCCCGAGAGGACCCGCCTATTGGGCGGGTTCCCGAGGGACGGATAGGCCCTATTCCGATCCGAACCGCAAACAAATGTCTGATTTTTGTCTTGCATATTCTGCTATATTATTTCATATTTTAAGTTGTTTACCTCAATATGATATATGTTCATGAAAATTAAAGTCATTTCATTCATAACTTTTTTCTTACAATAGCGTATGAACTTACAACTTAAATAACAACGGCGAAATGACAAGTTTTCAAGTTTGATATCTCAAGGCCCAACTGGGCATGTGAGAAAACAACAATATAACAAATGATTACAAAACAAAGTAAAGTGATACATAATTGAAATGGCAATGTTATGAACATAATTATGTACATAAAAAAGAGAACAAAATATGATGAAATATAATAAAAAATAGAATAAAAATCCTAAGCACATATTTCCCTTCTAAAACGACGTCATTTTAACGCGATTCAGTCATAAAGTGCGCTAAAATGACGTTGTTGTTTGGCACACGACTCATCTGGCATCCCCATGCCAGATGAAATTTGTTATGAATCCAAAAAGAACAACCACACGCGTACATTCAGTTATTTTTTTTAATATTCAAATCGATTTCGAACAAATATGTTCTTCGTCAGTGAATAAACAGGAAGTGAATAAACAGGAAGAGACGTCACATGACGTCACCGTCCGAGATGGCGGGAAACATACATTGTTACGTTACGTTATATTAAATTTCATTAAAAATTAATAAAGTTAATAAAGATTTAGATATATATGTATATAAACATTCACGGATTATGAAATACAAGTATTTCCTATATAAAATACATAAAAAACAATAATAGGAAACAACGTGAATGTTACGTAACGTGTATACATGCATAAAACAGATGAAATATTATATTGGAAAAAGTATATAACCATTTATAATGGAATGTCTACGCAAAAGAACTTACGGAAATAATTAAATGTCGTATATAATTTTTGCATTTAATCCAGCTGGTGAAAACGTCTTAAGCTTATGAATCCAGTAGGTTTCTCTACATAGACGCTCCATTGTGTCGCTGACAATCTCAAACGGTAAAAATGAAAAGTCATTAAATGAATGATCAATTGAATTAAAATGCGTTGCAACAAGAGTTGAAAACGCTGGATCTTTGAAATTTGTAATATCAAATTTATGACTATTCATTCTACGTGAAACCGGTTGAGATGTCTGGCCAACATATTGCATATTGCATTTTTGACAGGAGATTAAATAAATAACATTATTTGTAGAACAGTTTGTAGGGTTTCTCAGTGTATGTTTTTCGCCTGTGACACTGCTTGCAAAAGATACATCCGAAGTAATTCGATTACAATGAGAACATCTACTTCTGCTACAAGGAGAAGATGAATGAATTGACATTTGCTTTGAAAAGCTAGAATGCACAATATGATCACGGATATTTTTGGGTCTCTTAAACGCAACAATAGGTTTGTAAGTCTCATAAACATATTTTACAGTTTCACTTTTTGACAACTTTAGTAAGTCCCAATATTTGTTTAAAACGTGACCAATGTTAGGAAGATGAGGATTATAAGTAACAACAAATGGTATGACAAAATTAGATTGGCTACTTTTTGTGAGTCGCAGTGCCTCATTTTGACTCATAGAATTAATTTTCTCAAATGCATTGTCAATTACTTCTTTCGGGTATTCACGTTTCAGAAAAAAGTCTTTCAAATCAACTAGAGAGTCCTTGAATGTACTGTCATCGGATATTATTCTGCGGTAACGCTTGCCTTGACTGTATGGTATACCATTCTTGCATGCTTTTGGGTGACAAGAGGTATAATGAAGATACTGATGATTATTAGTGTTTTTCACGAATATGTTTGTTGAAAGAGTGCAATTATTTTTGGAAACACGCACATCAAGAAAATCAACACATGAACTGGAAATGGTTTGCGTAAACTTAATCGTCGGATGAAAATCATTTAGATCACGAATGAAATTCTCGAGTTCCTCGCGAGTATCGTCCCAGATTAGAAAAATGTCATCCAGGAAACGTAGCCACAGCGTCGGTTTGATATTTCGTGACTCGATAAAGTCCTTTTCCAGTTTCCCCATGAACAGGGAGGCATATGCTGGCGCCATAGATGATCCCATAGCAGTACCGCACGTTTGCATGAAAAACTCATTATTAAATTCGAAAAAGTTATTTTCAAGAACTATCCGTATAAGATTAGAGAGCACTGGTGTTTGTAAGTTATGATCACTATTTCCTTCATTTAGAAAATATTCACATGCTTTTATGCCGTCAGAGTGCGGAATACATGTATACAGTGAAGATACATCCATTGTAACTAATAATGAGTCTTTGCTTTTCAACTTCACATTTTTAATTTTTTGAATAAAATCCGTCGTATCTTTAATGAAAGATGGGAGTCGGAACATATACGGTTTAATATGCTATCCAAATATTTTGAAATATTCTCAGTCGGTGAATTACAGGCGGAAACTATAGGTCGACCCGGATATTTTAACGGAAGATCAGCATTCGGTTGTTTATGCGTTTTTGGAAGAACGTAAAATGACGGTGTGCGACATTCATTAGGAAAAACGTCGAATTCGTGGTCAATAGCATTGTTTCTCTCAGTTAGTTCCTCTATACATTTGCTTATATTTTCTTGAATGTTGATCATTGGATTATAACTCAATTTTTCGTAAAATGCGTCATTACCAAGTTGGCGTAAAACTTCATTTTTATAGTCTTTTCTATTCATTATTACTATGGTATTTGATTTATCTGCCTTTTTGATAATAATGTTTTCGTCACGGGATAACTTCCGGAGACTTTGTAAATCCGATTTTGAAATATTTGAGAAACGTTTATTTTTGTTTTCGCAATGAAGAATTTCTTCTGTGACCGCGGTTATATAAAAGTCCAAATGTACATCCCGACCTGATTTTGGAATGAATGATGATTGTTTCTTGTTAAAGAAAGGTAAATCTTTATAAGTGTCATCGCCAGTTTCTTTATCGGCAAAAAACTCTTTTAGTCTAAGACGCCGAGTGAATTTGAAGACGTCTTCTGCTAATTTAATTTTATCGTGCGATTTTGTTTTAGGGCAAAACGTAAGTCCCTTACCTAGGAGTATGTAATCATCGTCAGTTAATTTGCATGATGATAAGTTCAAGACCGTTTCTCTTCCCCGTTTTATTTTTTGGAGTCTTTTCTTTGTCTTCTTCCATGAATTTTTGTTTTTTGTGCGAATAAACCGCCTTTGTCGCTTTTTATTTCTTGCGATTTGATGAGCTGGGTCACCGCTTGAGTCAGGATTTTGAGGGTCGTGTGTATATTGTCTGTTGTTGCCTCGCTCGCTGCGACTTCCGCATAGGTTTTCTTGCCGCTCGAGGCTTGGACGTTTTTTGAATTACAATCTGTTGTTGTTTCTCGTTGCGAGGCTGGAACGGTAAGATCCACAACATCATTTTTTTGTGTATTTCCAGTTTGTTGTTTTGGAATATTGTTCTGTGGGCGTTGTTCATTGTGATTTTTTTTGTGTTTTCTTAGCTCCTTTCTTCTTCTTGGAAGTCTTGATTTGCCAGTCGTCGCTTTGGGTTTTCTCAGTAATCAACGGCTGAGTATTTGAAACATTTTCTTTCAAAAAATTCAATTTCTTTGCATGTCTTTTTTCTATTGTCGTTCTGGATTTCTCGATCGAATCACTTATTTCTTTGTCAAGGTTATCCAATTGTTCATTATCTAAGTCCTTTTCTAGATCTGCTCGCAGTTTTTCCATCTCCGATGTCAGTTCATTTGACCTTCTCATATGATCTTCTTTGATCATCTCGCAGACTTCAACACTTACTCTGTGGAGAAGGGAGTCTACTTTCTCCTGCAGTTTGTTTGACGTGCCGCCGACGGTCAGTTTGAGTTTAAGTAACAGTCCTTTTGGAATTACGTCCTCGGCTCGGCAGTTTTGAAGAAACTTTACGTGGAGAATTCCTTTCATCTGTTTAGTTGCCATCTTCTTCAATTGAAGTTCGCGTGGATCTGTAGTAGATGCCATGTTGTTCTTAAATATTATTAAATATGAATCCAAAAAGAACAACCACACGCGTACATTCAGTTATTTTTTTTAATATTCAAATCGATTTCGAACAAATATGTTCTTCGTCAGTGAATAAACAGGAAGTGAATAAACAGGATGAAATTTGTAAAATAGTAAGATATTTTGCAAGCTATTACCTGCAATTTGGTTATCCCGCCATTAATATTTTTTACAGAAATATACGGTGTCTCGGTCAGAAGGATGATATTTTGACGTTGCGGTAATAGGGCGTTTGTGGTTACGCGAAGTCGGTCTGTGCTAATAATATCTGTCATATGTTGCGGTTCGGACCGGAATATCCGTCCCGAGGGGACCCGCCCATTGGGCGGTAACGAGGCTTGCCGAGTTACCCCCCATGGGCGGGTTCCCGAGGGACGGATATTCCAATCCGAACCGCAAACATATGTTAGATATTTTTTCTTGCATATTCTGCCATATTATTTCATATCTAAAATGGTTTACCTCAATATGATATATGTTCATGGAAATTAAAGTCATTTCATCCCTAACTATTTTCTTAAAATAGCGTATGAACTTACAACTTTAATAACAACGGCGAAATGACGTCATCCTAAGCACATATTTCCCTTCTAAAACGACGTCATTTACCGCGGTTCATTCATAAAGTGCGCTAAAATGACGTTGTTGTTTGGCACGCGACTCATCTGGCACCCCCATGCCAGATGAAATTTCCGGCATGGGTAAAACTCACGGAAACGCCAGTCTGCTATGCAAGAAATCTAAAATCAAAAGTCCCCCTGCCAAACAAAACAGTGTACGAATATACTCTATCCTTGTTGGGGTGTGGTAGGGTATACAGTAAAGTGGCTATTAGCAATGGACACTAAGAAATACAATACAAAAATACGTTATAACGTATTATTTCTAAAATGTTAAAACGTGTACAATGTCATAATATTCCACAGTAAGGAAGTATCAGTTGGTGTACATCTTCTCCATCCAAATACAACAAGAAAATATTTGACGTCATTCGACATCTCCCCACTCGGACGAAAATCAGAACGTGAGATTGAAAAAGTAGATACAAAATCTGGTAAATCATATCCTATACTATCCTATCCTAAAGGCTATGCTATGCTGTCCTGTCCTATCCTATCCTATCCTATCCTATCCCTCATCTCTCATATCTCATATCTCGTATCTCATTCCTTAACTTGTCTTATCTCATCTTATCTTACTACAAATACTCATGAATTAATTCTTCCCAATGACCATTTTTCATTGGAATATCCATGTTGAATAAGGATATAAGCCAGATTGACCATGTCCCACCCTAAATACACACCTGTCTTGCTTTTTATCCTTCTTACTAGTGACGCATAAAGTCTTGGTCCCCAGCAGGGGTTTTCTTAAATGGAAGATGAGATAAGAAACAACAATAGACTGTCGAGTTAACTCGAATATACCAATAAAATGAAATACAAATATGTTTAACAACATTGAGTGTAGTTGTTAGTATTTTTTCTGACGTCATTTAGTTAATTGCCGTCATATTAGCTTAAGGTCTTCAGCGTACCCGTTTATATACTATGGCATGACGTGAACGCTGAAGACAACCCCGTAGGGAAAGTCCACCAATAATCGTGCCAGGAATCTGACACGCTCGTATTCATTCATCGAACATGCCATGAAGTAAAGTGAAGCATACCTTGATAAAACTATATATAATCTGTTGATAAGCCAAGGATGGACAAATAAAAATCTTATTATGAAATAATAATGCCGAATCAGATGAAAAACAAAAATGTTAAATAGCGGCTTATAAAGTTTTGGAATCTACCGTCATATCTGCTTTTTTTAAATAGAGTTGCATCACTTGACGCTTTTTTAATATCTTCACATTGTATTTGGCCATATTACGCTGTTTTGTTTTGTTCACTTTGCGCTTCATTGTACCGCTTTACGCCATAATCGAACAATGGACACGACTGAAGGTAGTAATCCCACAGAAAAGGATGCTGTGGCTGATATCAAGCCAGAAGAGAGTGATAATCCACTTATTCAATCAGTTTTACAAGATTTGGTTGACCTGGATAAAGATTATATGGAGTTAGAGGTATGGTTAAGGAGATAAATGCAAAGTGTAACTGTCATAAATTTCGGATATGGATTTTTTCAACCACAACGCAAAATCATTTTACTGCTTACTGGAGTCAGTAAGAAATGCGCGTTAACACGCAGCCCTCAAATCATGAAATTTCAAATACACTTACTATGCTTTCATACTGTTTGAAAACACATGCAGGAAATGAAAAAAGTTACTGATGTTAACATTTCAATATTCTGGCAAAATATGTTTGTTGGGCTAATGATCATCTAAACTGTTTTTAGTCTTTAAACAAAACGTTGTTTTGTGATATTCTTGTCTCTTGGGATTGCACATCATAAACTATAACAAGTGCATACTCAATCACACACTGACAAGATGTAAGTATTGCTTAATTCCTTGTTAAAATTGATTAAAAATTTAAATGGGAAAATTGTCATTAGTAAAACTTGTCTTGAACTGTCAGCGTCTGCTGTTTCTGTCTGCTGCACCTATTAAAACAGCAATTTATGTTAATTAACTTTCTGCTTAAACCACTTATGTGCGAGTAACAATGTTAAGTACTACCATTTTTCTTTCCTGACTTGCTTTAAGTTAGTTTCCTTGTGTTACTTTCCAACCAAAAATGCATAAAGCCTTGATTGCCACTTTCACCCACAGTGTTAAAAAGATTGGAGTGATTGGGCATTACTTAGTACAATATTGTGTACTGTTTAAGATTGACAATCATTCATTTCTCCAATTAAGAAGCTAGTAAAGACTATTAAGAAATCAAGAATGCAGCAAAAGAATAAATATTTTCAGCATATAATTTTAATCAACACTTTTATGATATTATTATAGGACTATTGTATGTACTGAAAATTCCTGCGTTTGCCTATAGGCAAACATTGAAAATGAGAGTTGTTAATGTTATTATTATTTTTACAGCTTGATAATGAAAATTACAAAAAGAAACTAGATGAAGTTAAAGTGTTACAGAAGAAATGCTTGAGTGGAATTGCCCATCAGCGATACAGGATCAAGAAAATAAATGAAGCTCTCAAGTAAGCATTGAAGTAGCTGCAAAGAATTTTTGTAAAATACTTGAGAAATAACAAACACTTTTACAATATTTTTTATGAATATTAGCTAGATTATATTTCATTGCAGAGTTTTAACTACTAGAATAATTACTTGCATTATAGCAAGACAATTTTACATTTTTAATATTTTGATGTTGCGGACATTAAATGAGCTGTAGAATTTTTTTTGCCCTTTTGAATAAGACAGAGAAAGTATAAGGTCTGTTAATTTAGAATTTTTCACTTCACATTTCACTTTTAATTTTAGGAATGCCATCTTTTTATTAGAAATAATATCATAAAAGAATTTGCTGGCATGTTTTGTATATTTCCAAATTATTATTTCACTATAGAGCTATCCCAAATCCTTCAACTGAGGACAAAAAACACATGACAGAGGCACAAAACAGAATGACCAAGAGGAAAAATACATTTCGAGACTTTGAAGATCATTTGCCTCATAAAAATGGGTAATTTAGAAAGAAGAATGTTCTAATTTATTAATTAGAAATTAAATAGTACTTAACTTTTCAATGTTAAAAGATATTGTTATATTTTGTCTGTGCATGTAAACTGAAATAATTGACAGAATGTTTATAGATGTTAATTCTATATAGATGAGAACTTGTTGATCTGAACAAATCTATTGTGTCACTTAACATTAGATTTAATGTGTCATGTTCTTGCCTGTTTTGTTGTTGTTGTTGTTGTTGTTGTGTGTTTGTTCATTGATTTGGGCTATCACAAATCAAGTTGTTGCCCATTTTGCAGTCATAAATAATATGAGATATATTTATAAAAAATGGCTAATTACAAATCTTTGATGTCCAAATATGTATGTGAAGAAGATGTAGATACTTTCAGATAAAAAATAGATAAACTATTTAGCTATTGTAGTAAAGAATCCAAAATCATTGTTACTAGATATATGTTTCCGCCAGGATAAAATTAATAAAAAAACCTGTAAAACTGGCAATAAACTCTACAAATTAAATTGTTTTAACTTTTTTGTGTGGGACAAATAGATATATACTTAAATTATTTAAGTAAAGTCTGGTATACCTATCTAAACTTATATTCTGACTTTAATTTATTGCTTCTCATAATAAAATATTGTGATTGTTCTGTTCTTTTTTAGGATCTACCTTAATATTATACTAGGTCAAGTCAACATTTCTCTTCTAAACAAAGAAGATAAGTAAGTACATGTATACAGTGTGTTTTATTTTATATGACTATCAAATATTTTGTGTGTGATTATATTATCAATCTTAGTGTATTAACAAATGCTTTTATAAATTTGAACACTCTTAGAATAAGCTTGACAAATCATAAATTACTTTATTGCTGTCTGGAATTCCCTTGTGGCTGCAGGGTTGCCTTTAAGGGTTGAGGCATCAGAATTGCAGCAAAGCTTTAGCTCTGCTTGATCAGAAGAGGTTTGAATTATGGAGTCTATGCATCTCTTAGCTCTAGCACATGGTTTTGACCAGGGGTGTTGCTTTAAGTTTGTAACACCTGAGGTTAGCTAAACTTATCTTTCTGTTTCTGGTACCATATGACCTAAATTGTGTTGGTGTGCCGTAAACCAAACAGACAAACAAAGCTTTCTGGCATTAAGATGCACTTTTTTCCATGAGATTAGTGGTATTTAAATTGAAAGATTTTTTTCATCAAGATAATCCTACATCAAAATAAATCGTTATATAAAATCTTCTGGTGTATGTCAGTGCTCTAACCTAGTAGAGGTGTTCATCTGTTTATTAATTATCTACTAGTCTGTAAATAATCTATCAAGTTATTCTATATAAAACATTTACAGATACCTATACAAGCAGGACTATGAGAGATTTAAGCTAACACTCAGCTATATTCAGCTGGGATTATCCATGATACTGGTGTTTGCCAACTATATTGTAAACTTCACAAGTCTCAGGTATGTCATTGTTAACAGAGGGGTGTACACAACAAAAATATGTTTGTTATTTGTAATTATTAAATAGCTTTTAATGAAAGATGATAAATTTGAAATATTTTCATGAGGTTGTAGCCGCCCATATAAAATCGTGGAGCATTATCTTACATGGAGAGAAAACTATATCATCATACACTTAAAATATGTATCAGCAATAACATGATCCTGCAAGAAGTCATTATCGGTAATGGATGAAGATGCAAACACATACGGTAACTAATAATTTCCAGTAACTTTGCCATTGTAAAACAAGATGGTAGAAATTGAAACACCAAGGCCTGATAAATCTTGCTGAGGTCTGGATGGGAAACAAATTTAATTTTAGAGCTGCTTATCCCTCTGTAATAAAAATCTCTGACAAAATGTAAAAAGATTTTAGCAAGATTATTCAAATAGGTGGGACTATCCTACCCACACTGTCACTAGCAGTGATATAACACTTGTTTAAAGTTTTGTACCTATCTAGCCACTGAGGATATTCTGATATTAATTATCACCAACCAAGACCCACTATTTCTGCTATGATATTTATTGAATTATGACCATTAATATCTTTTTAAGGTTGGGCATGCAAAATGTTTGTAATGGTTGTAACCATTGAAAAATTGATGATTGTTTACTATGCCAAAGTCATCAGTCTGAAAAAAAAAATTAATATAATTTAAATTTTCCCCTGTACTTAAATATATTTTTCATATTTAATTGAATTTTCTTCTAAGTGTTTTGCCTTTCTTTTTATTTTAGATGGGCAGATTCTGTGTTACATTTCCTGCTAGTATGGTATTATTGTACACTAACAATTCGGGAACAGATTCTGATTGTGAACGGGTCAAGGTATTAAGTTTTCCTTTTAGATTATGATAAATACAGTATATATGATAGTACACATGTTTATATGATATTCCAAAAGTGTTTTTGGAATATTGTTAATTACCAGTCATTGTACATGATCAGTTATGTGTCCAAAACAAACAAGTACATGAATGTTAGTAAAGTAAGTTGACAAATGTGAGATCTATACTGAATAAGGTATCATTCATCTTGTTGCCTACTGGAAATCAAACAGGGAGTATCTTGTGAAGAGTTGTGCAGTTTTAGTTGAAGCAGAATTCATTTTATCTTGATTGTGTCAGACGCTATAAGCTTATAGATACACTCTGTTCCTGGAACCAGCCAGTACTGAGCAATGAGTTTGAAGTTATTTGCCCAAGGAAACAGTGGCACTGTGCAGTTTTAAGACCATACTAAGACTATTTCATTACAGTTTTATATTATTTTATAAAGAGGTTTTTTTTAAAATTTTAATTAGCCAGAAATAAGTATGGATAATTCATTTTGTTGTAGTAAAATATTGTATATTTTACTACATGTATTTATAAAAGACATACATGTTTATACAAGTGTGAAATATTAGTTAAACTATTTATGAATTTTTACATATATTCTTTTAAATCATTAAAGATTTATGTATTTAACAAATATGATTTAAAATAATATATTGAAAAAGGGTTTTTTATATTGCATGTTTTTGCATTGTTCTTGAATATGTGATTGAAATAATTTGTGTTATTTTATTATTCAGGATAAAGGGTTGGTGGTTACTGCATCATTTCGTCTCAACAGCATGCTCTGCTATTACTCTGATATGGTACTTATAACAATTTTATTTACTTTTTGGTGCTCAAAGTTTGTTGGTAGTTTGGGTGAATCTTATCATATGATTTAGGTTGCTGACTGAACATCTTGCCTACCTCTAAATACTATGATTGAAATATTGCAACATGTGCTGAATATGTATGTTAATGGTAAGGAAAGGGTAAGGAAAAGTGTGCTGCCTGACTGAGACTCAAACCTGCAACCCTTGGAGCTAATCCATACACTTAGTTAGTGAATAGCTCTATACCATGACATATTCCCCCTATTGTCCCATTATTTCCAGTTTGTACAGAAATCAATAAGAATCAACGACTTATACTCCATTTGGATCCCAAATGAGTGCCAAATGTATCAGGACGAGAAAAATGTGCAGCCTAGCCAGGACTCAAACTCAAAAATCTAGAAATACTGTTTTTCAGAATAACTAAATGAGTTCACTGGACATTTCTCCCAAATTATTTCTATGCTGTGACTCTTTTTGTGAAAAAATTACTGAGGTAGTCTATGTTATGTCAGTTGATGAACTAAGATGCTCTCTTGAGGCTGATACATTATACAGTATTAGGATAAAATGTTTATTTTCACCAGTAAACTCTCAGAATTCTTCACAGTTATCATTGACTGTTCCAAATTAAAATCAAGACCAGTGCGTTATACAGATCAAGTAGAGGTAAAGCTTATTATATGATTTTATGTGAGTGTTATTTTACAGGCCTGACGGCTACTCCTATCAGTCATTTAGAACACAGTATGGATGGTTTATTCTCTATATTGGTGAGTATTTCTCATTATTAAAGTCATGTTTTCATCTTAAATTCTATCTTAAATAGGTGCTCTTTTTCATCTTCAATGCTTATCTAGTTTATTATTTTATATAGTTTATTATTTGGATTTATTGAATATTGCAACCATATAACCTATTTGAGTGCAGATTTTGGCACCTGATGCTTGGTAGCTCTACCAAGGTTTCTTTGCTGTTTCAATATTTGCAGCATTCCTTCAATAAGGGTGTAATTCAACAGTGTCACAGGTGTTTGGTAGATCAATCAAGATAAAATTTCAGCCAAATAATTGTATTTGATATTTGCAGCTTTCGTGCAAGTGTTACAGTACTATTATCAGAGAGGGTGTCTGTATCGGTTGAAATGTCTCGGCCAGCGACATGACATGGATATTACAGTTGGTAAGTTAGTTACATTGTGCCAGAACTGTGTAGCTGTTTTAGTTCCTCTATCAAACATGTGTAAATATTTGATTGTCATGGTGACAGAAAATTATATAACGAAACAGTTTGTGTTCTAGTCTCTCATGTGCATTACTTTTTTATCATGTACTCTCTCATGTACTTTACATACATGTGTATATCAGTGTTGTGCAATCTGTTGAACAATAAATATTCAAGTTAATCTGTTTCTTTGCTTATGTAACACATTTAGTTTCTATTGCACCATGTAAAAGTAAATAAATAAAGATCAAGTATAGAATATACTTAGTTAGGTATTTGTACATTGATGCACTATGTTATTAAAAGTTTAATCACTAATGGCAACAAACTTTGAAGCAGCCCAGGCTAAATACAGTTTGGAATAGACCATATACATGTAATATTGATTGATTAGTTTCAGCAATTTAATATACATTAACAATATAATAACAATGGAAACTAAAGCAAGGCTAGTACGAGTACATAAATTTAGATGATAAAATGTTCAAATCGTATTTGAATCATTGCTAATTAAAGTTGCATACGATCAATTACATGTTCCACAAATCAGCTGTTTGTTGCAGTTTTGATGTCAGAATATTTATGTATTATTTTCTAAGTGTACCAATATTATATAATATTGTTGTTGTTTGTTTCAGAGGGATTCATGTCCTGGATGTTCAAAGGTTTAGCCTTCCTCTTGCCATTTCTCTCCTTTGCTTATGTAAGTTGTTGGTTAAGATATCTGACTAATAAATTGACCCTCACTATTGTAGTTTAACTAGATAAAAATAAAGACCAGTTTTAGGATCAAGATCAATATTCAGATGAACTTATAAAGACATATTAATTTTGTAAAGTAATTATGAAATTTGTCTTAAATTTTATGAACATTTGCCATTTTAACTACACTTTTTTAGTTGATATTGAATATCTAATCTATGATGACAATAAATGAGGGGGTGGGGGGGGGGGGGGATAGTTCTGTGAATATGAGCATTAGTGATGAAATTTTTGTAAAGACAATGTCAGGTCAATTGGCCGGTCATTGGTGAGTTTAGAAGTTTCAGGTTCTTGTCTTGTTTTTCTGCTGTAATTTTGTCAAAGGTAACCTGTCTAAGTTCTCTCAACCACTGTTGTAAGTAATATATAATGTAAGTAATATATAATGTGTTCTTGCAGAAAAAAAAGTTAGAAAATGTTTAGGCTTTGGCCTCAGTGGAGTTTTTTTTTAATTTCTGGTACTTTATTCTTTCATTTATTGTGTTTTATATTTGGTGTGTTTAACAAAAACATGAAACAAAAACACAGTAATAAATTTGTTTGTATAACATGTGGTTATTGTTCTATGTTTCAGTTTTTCCAACTGTATAATGCTATTAAGTTATATCACCTATACCAAGATCCAAGATGTACAGAATGGCAGGTAAAATATAAACCTTACTCAATATTGTGAAAATAGAAAATATCATTTACATTTTATGTTTACAGAATAATTTGGGATCAGTACTGTTCAAAGTTTCAGAACTTTGGAACTGTTTTTAAATGGCATATGTCACGGCATTTCTATTTTGGATTAAAATTTGTAGACCTGCCCTATGAATCAATCAATATTTGAAGATATAATCTTTAATCTACATTTATAGATGTAACTTTAGACCTGTTCATTGTTTAAATTTTAGTATGATTGTTTTACCTGTCATTTAATATGTTGTTATACCCCCGCACAACAAAGTTATGAGGGGGGTATACTGGAATCAGCTTGTCGTTCCGGACGTCTCACCGTCCGTCCGTCGGTTTTTCCTTGTCAGCCCAATAACTTGAGGTTCCTTTGGCCCACAGTCTTCATATTTGGCATGGTGGTTTGTCATGATTAGTAGATGACCCCTATTGATTTTGGGGTCAAAGGTCACAGGGGCCTTAACTTTAAAAAGCTTGTCCGCCCAATTACTTGAGATTCCTTTGGCCCACAGTCTTCATATTTGGCATGGAGGTTAATCATGATTAGTAGATGACCCCTTTTGATTTTGGGGTCACTGGGTCAAAGGTCAAGGTCACAGGGGCCTTGACTAAAATAAAACCTGGTCCGCCCAATAACTTGAGATTCCTTTGACCCACAGTCTTCATATTTGGCATGGAGGTTAGTCATGATTAGAAGATGACCCCTTTTGATTTTGGGGTCACTGGGTCAAAGGTCAAGGTCACAGGAGCCATGACTTTAAAAGCTTGTCCACCCAATAACTTGAGATTCCTTTGGCCCACAGTCTTCATATTTGGCATGGAGGTTTGTCATGATTAGTAGATGACCCCTATTGATTTTGAGGTCACTAGGTCAAAGATCAAGGTCACAGGGACCTTAACTTGAGATTTCTTTGACCCACAGTCTTCATATTTGGCATGGAGGTTAGTCATTATTATAGATGAACCTTATTGATTTTTGGGTCACTGGGTCAAAGGTCAAGGTCATGGGCCTTGACTAAAAAAACCTTGTCCGCAAAATAACTTGAGATTCCGTTGACCCACAGTCTTCATATTTGGCATGGAGGTTAGTCATGATTCGTAGATGACTCCTATTGATTTTGAGGTCAAAGGTCAAGGTCACAGGGGCCTTGACTAAAAAAAAGCTTGTCTGCCCAATAACTTAAGATTCCTTTGACCCACAGTCTTCATATTTGGCATGGAGGTTAGTGATGATTAGTAAATGACCCCTTTTGATTTTGAGGTCACTGGGTCTAAGGTCAAGGTCACAGGGACCTTGACTGAAAAAAACTTGATTTTAAAATTTTCACATTTGAAGCATGGAGAATACATATCTTAACAATGCACTGGCTTAGTAAACTCAGATTTTGCAGGGTGGTTGTCCTTGAGTTCTAAATGGCCACTGTTGATTCTGACAAAGTGGTATGCGGGGGTATTCATGCCATGACAGTGGCAGTTCTAGTTTTTTACTGTAGTATATTTTGATAAAACTTTTGACCTGTATCTTTGAAGAAAAATAATTTGCTTATTTTGGTTGATGTAACCATCAATTGATATTTCAACTTACATGTATATTTTTGACCTATATTTGTTGATGTAACCTTTGACCTATATTTGTAGATGTAACATTTAACCTATATTTTTGTAGACTTAACCATTGACCTATATTTGTAAATGTGACCTTGTACTTGTTTTCCAGGTGCCTGTGTTAAGTATAATCCATCTAGTGCTGTTTCTAGGCAACATGACAACAACGTTGAAAGTGCTGAAACAGAAATTCACAGAGGACATGAGGAATAAAAAGAAGTTTTATAAAAACAAGTACCGCTTCAATAACAAACAGAAAGTTTTGTAAATACAGAAATGAAAAAATATATTTAAGAGAGGTTTATTTGAACATGTAAATTATGAGAAATTACTTATTTTATATAGTTATTTGGAAAAAAAAGATGTAAATAATTGATGTTAATAGGGCATGAGTATTGCTCATATGCATGTAAAGTGATCAGAAAATATTGAATATTTTAAATAGAGTTACAATATTTTTCTTATAAGACTAATAAGGACAAGATTTTTTATATGAAATGATTTTTTTACATTATTGAAACAATTGGTGCACAGAAATTTGTTTAACTACACAATTTTAGTGTTTGATGTATAAATATCTTTATATATAGACCAGTAACCACTTAACAACAACCAAATCAAATCTCCCCAAAGATTTATACTGAAGTTAACCTCTTAAGATCAGCATCTCTCAGAAACAACCAAACACTTTCCCTCCTAAAGGGGGTTTAAGACTCAGTAGAAGTTGTACTGTTTTAGCTTTTGCAGATGATGGATAAATTTTGGGAAGTCAGTTGTTTCTATTGTGTTCAGAATTTCTCTAAAAAGATAATGATAAAATTGAGGAGTATTTATGTATTATATTATTTATAATGCAATAGATGTTTTTTTTTTTTTTAAGTTTTATTTTTTTTTGTTAATGGTGCTCATTTTGTTTTATTCTTTGTTGATTTTTTTGCAGGAAATCATATGATTATTTTCATTGATAAGGTTTTTTGTGTGTAATTTTGTTATTTTTTTGTTTTATTATCATATGCCCAATTTTTTTTTTTTAGATATTATTGTTCAAGAATTTGTTTAAACACAGTAATAAATGCAGACATACACATTATCTATGTATTAAAACATACTTACAGGAGGGGCTGTCAGTATGTATATGATGTTGTATCAGGTAATGGTAATTTAAGGTCTTCTAGCAGCAAGTGATTCTACCCTGACCTGGGTTCCAGTCTGTCCATTTTTTGTGTGCTTCTGTTCCGCAAATCGACATTGATATTATCAAAAATACGAACAAGTATGAAATAGCGCGTATATAATGAATTAGCAAAAACATATAGAATTGGATTTAGGCGTTGATATTTTTTTTGCTTATCAGACCAAGATCAGCCAGAATATTGATGCTGTCTGATCATGGTCTGCACTTTCCGCTGTTCATTCAATACTTGTATTGAGCTTTTCCATAAAAATGATGAATGCTTTAGTCCATATTACAAAATGGACGAGACCTTTTGAAAATATTTATAGTGGTAAAAGTTAATAAAATTGAACTGTAAGTTTCCCTCAAAATTGTATAAATAACACCTGCACTGTTAAATAATTGTATATAATGGACCAGCCCTGTTTTGAGATTATTTCAAGGGGGTTAATTATCTAACACCTCAAACTCAGCTTGCAATAGTCTAATCAGAGGACTTCAGAGAACCATGGGAAGGTTTGGTAATTTGCTTCAGTTTATCCTCATTCTTTTATTTTTAAGGTTGATGCAGGGAGCCAGGGAAAAGTTTGATACCTGGCTTTATGCATTAACCGGTCATTAGTCATATAGTTTTATATTAATTCAGGGAACAATGGAATGATTTGGTGCCTTGTTCCATGCATTTTATATACATCTATATATAAATCCATGGGTGTTACAGTCAATACATTGTATTCAGTGTCCAGTCATTGGTGCATTTCTTAATACTCATAATAAATCAGGCAGCCATAGAATTATTCCAACAACAACTGTTGGTTTATAAGCTTAATGCTACTGTAGATACTAGTCCAACAAATTGTGTGCCAGGGCTTACAAAGGGCGGCTATGTTAAAGATAGACCTAATATCAGTTTGTAAAATCAGTTACTCCTAGAAAACATCTGTTGTTGAAACATTAGATTTGTATTTGCTTTATTTGAACTTTGTTAGTCTTGTAATTTTATTGTTAATGCATAGTGCAATATGTTCACACACAAACATTCTTTAAGACCTACACAAGTACATAGGAAATTTTTGTATGTTAACAGAGATACCTTAAAACTTTGAATTACGAGGAATTGTTTTAACAAAATATTAAAACATCACATCATTATTGCACCATTATATTTCTACTATCACAAAATCAGTGTAATTTGAATTATGTATATATTTAATTTTAACTCTTTGTTAAATGCTAATTTTAGATTTTAAAGATTAATGGAAACAATTGCTGAAAATTGCCTGACTAGAAAAAACCTTATGTTAATATTTTTTGTCTTTTTCATAATAACAAGTATAGTTATAAGGAGAAAATAAAGTTGAAATCCATGTTTAATGTCTGAATGCACAATATTTTATATCATCACTTTACTGAACAATTTATCATGGACATCTGTCACTGACTTCTTATCTTCACTTTAACAAAATAACAAACATCGGAAATTTAATATATATTGTCTGCTGTTGTATGTTACAAATAATGATATTACCATTCATAATTTAAATTGATTGTTATAATACAATACAATACAGTTTATTTGCTTTAAACATTATACAACATTTCTAGCATAATATGACCGGTAGCTTGGTCGATAGCAACAATATGCAAAAACAAAACGTTGTCAAATCTGTGTAAGCGGAAAGATATTTGTTATATGACCATAATTACAATGGATCATTTATGATATGATCATGGTTAATAAAAGTAGGTTAGATAATAATGTATTTGAAAACAAAGGGACTTAACTCATTGACAATTTATCTTGGGGAATAAGCTCCCTTTTGATAATTTTGAATAAATAATAACTCCATAACTACAGTTTCATCAGATTATTAATTTATTACAATGTGTCAAAAATTCAACCAGGTTTAACATTTAAAATTGTTTTGTTAGATATTGTATTTATATCTTTTCTGTTGGCATACGTCAAAATTTCAGTGTTTACTATTATTTCAATAAAAAATGATTCTTGAAATAGTCTTTGTGTTAAATCGAAGCATTTTGGATAGATACTTTTCTTGAGAACAAGTCGTGCATGTATTGACCCATGGAAAATGATCAATAATGTCGGTTTTTCTGTCATAATCCAGCATGATACATAGTTATACATGTGACAGATATTCGATGGGTGAAAAGATTGTGTACCTTTGTAACAGTACTTTAGTCATATACAATCAGGCAGCTGGCTATAATTATACTAGTTACAGTTACCAGTTATTGTACAAGTACATGAAAACCTTCCAATATATATCGACAAAACAGGAAACATTATTCCTACAAAGGGAAAACCTATAGTTGTCAATTTGTTGGTCCTTCCATTTGTCTATTTTTCATTATTAGATTCTTTTGATGTTCTTATAACATTTGTAAAGTAACGGGACAGTCCAACACTAAGGTTGAAGTCAATGGCTCTAAAAATCTATTTTTAATCTTTTACAGCTTCTATTGATTTACTGGGGTCTTTCTAATTCAGTTGGTAAATACATGTATAAGTATTTTGGTGGAGACTTGGTGGCGAGGTGGTCACTTGGGCTAAGGTCAAGGTTATGAGACTGATAAAAAAGATTTTTATAATTTTGCTCATATAACCTTTATTTATTGACTGATGTCTTTCATATTTGGTGAGTAGATACCTTGGGTGCAGGGGGTGCAAAAAATACAGTTTTACACTTTCCCTCTTACAGTCTTTCTTGAGTAATGTGCATTAAATACATTGGCAAATTATTTATGTTCAGGTTTGGGGAGCATCCATTGCCTTTAGCAATATTCTTGTATTTCAAGCTAACAACCTGGAATACTGTATTTCCCCTGGGCAATAAAATCCATATCACTTTTAGTAAGACTGACATAAATTTATCAAACCTTATTTGGCATGTATTCCAATTTTTGATATACAAATAACATGTAAATAACTGTTGCCTGTATAGTTTTTTATGTCAGGTGATGGTATATTTCTCAATTTAAATACCATACTTTTATAAAACTTGCTTGTCCATGTAGCCTGTCTAGGCTCGATACTGTTAGCAGACTTACTTGAAAATTTCATCTTGATAACCCCGAAATTGGAAGTTAATACAGATTCAAACATGGTAGTTGATGGAATAAATGTAAGAAATTAAACAGGTTAATGGTTAAAATATACTTGTACTATTGCTTAAGCAGTTGTTAAAAACTGTTTTACGTGCCTTTCTTCTTTTCAGTGCTCCAATGAAAGCAGTCAAAAAATTTGTTTTTAAAATAAATAAGGTTGAAATTTTTTTTAAGCCCCCACAATGTGGGAGCATATTATAGTGTTGCACTTGTCTGTCCGTCCCGAAATCTTGTGAACGCAACTCCTCTTAAACCAGATGGCAGATTTTGCTTAAACTTAAAGGGATGAACAATCTTAATGTGTAGATGGTAGTAAAGGAAGGAATTTTCGCTGCGACCAAATTTAACAGAATTATGGCCCTCTGTTGATTTTTTCACTATATACTATGTAGAAATTTTGTGAACGCAACTCCTCTTAAACCGGATGGCAGATTTTGCTTAAACTTCCAGGGATGCACAACCTTAATGTATAGATGGTAGTAAAGGAAGGAATTTTTGCTGCGACCAAATTTAACAGAATTATGGCCCTTTGTTGATTTTTAGTTTTCAACTTGTGGCAAATGTAGTCCAAAAAATATTTGACCTAGTCATAAGATTGACAGAACAGTGGCGTGTGGGGGCATCTGTGTCCTATGGACACGTGTCTAGTTTTTGTGAATATACTGTTCATCTCACATTGAAGCGAAGATATAAAACCACATTTTGAGTCACACTTGCACATTTGTGAAAATATTGCCATTTCCTCACTTCTTTGGGCAATATATTCCTTATTTACTCAGCACTCTCCAGCCTTCATTCACATGGGTCTATAGGTGGTTGTTTTATTGTGTTATTGGCCGTTAATAGTCAAATTCAAAAGTTTAAAAACTCCCATCTAATTTGGCAGTTTCACTCCCCACTATTGTTATTAATTTCTTTTATGGTTGTACAAGATTGGTTTTATAACTCATTCCATTGGTACCAACTACTCTCTCCTCTGTTAACTTTTCACTGTAAACAGGTTTAAATGTTTGATTGGTTTTTACACTGATTTCTAACAGTTTTGGTCAATATTCAGTAATTGCTCCACGTAAGGTTATGGTCAATGTTAAAGTTTGCTGACGGCAATGGCAATAGCAACGCCAACATAACTATAGCAATACCTGTATTTCTTTTCCTTTAAAAAAAAGTCGAGCTAAAAATGCTACCACAATTCATTAAGTCAAGTATGGACATGGACTTCAGTAACAATAAAACAAAGTGGGGATTTTGTCTACTTTAATGTTAACATGAATGATTATGTAATGCAAGCAACTAAAACTTTTAAATAATATTACAAAATATTACAGCCATGACATTCATCATTGGTAGGGTCTTAGTGACTCCATTAAAGTGACATTATGCCCATCTTAGGGTCAATAGTGGGTGAACAGGTGAAAGACAAAATCAGTTTACATTTTGCCACAATTCCTTTCACTTTCAAAATGTACTTCACATGATTAAATAAATATCTCACATGGCTCAAAGAAATTTTTTTTAAATATTCATTGGCATTTACTTGTAACCTTCAATTTGGAAAAGACTGGGGCAGTCTTTTTTATATTTTTTATCATTAACATTTTCCAATAGCAACTGTTGGTAAATCTTCATTATAACAGTCGATCTTTTTAAATTACTACTCAATTCAGCTCAACTTGTGTGGCAGCATGGCTGAGTGGTTAACACGCCAGACTAGTAATCTAAGGATTGCCGGCCTCGTGGGTTTAAACCTTGTCAGGGGCAAGCCAAACAAGAAATTCTAAACTCATTGCTTAGTACTGGTTTGTTCCAGGAATTATTCAATTCAATTATTTTATTCAATAAGATAAGTTTCAAACACAATCAAACTAAATTAAATTCGCATAAACTAATTCAGCTCAAATTGATAATGAAAAAATGAGCATAATGTCACAAAATCATTATTATTGATGAACTGAAAGGGGAATTTCGAGTTTTAAAATTAAAAAAATATATAAAAAATTCAACTTTAACAAGTCAATACATCAAGAACTAAATTTAATCATGAAATTTACATTTTTTATGTAACACTACATTAGAAATTAATTGTACAAAAAAATAAAAGTTCAGTTCACTATGTAAGAAAATGTTCAAATGCTGAAATATAAGGGGTGGGGGTGGGTCTAAATTATTACTGCTATTTATTAGTCTTAAAACCTTTTAAATGCAACTACAGAATGTACAACAATGAACTTTAACTGTCTTTTATATACTTATAATACTGTCAAGTCATTTGAATAATCATAATATTGATAGCAAAGGTTCATTTCTTTTTTTAAAAAATTATATACTTTTGATTTCTTTTTACGGTTTTATATTTGTCATCATCAAATTTATGATGTTTAATGGTCATATGCTACATCATCAAACTGTTAGACTGCTGGCTAAAATAGTTTACCAGCAAATATATGGCTGACCCTCATAAATATTACAAATAACCGTAGTAAAGCACAGACATACATATTTCTGATTATATAATATCTGTTATCAGTGTATAGCTTGGTCAGATTGCAGGGTTGGGTAGACTTGCCTGGCTCTATACTGGTGTCAAAGGTTAATTACCAGTACTTCTCAGTTCCTGCAGGTTAAGTAACAGCTTCTGATGCACAAATTATATAATTGAAATGTTCATCTTGTCATATAAAGTTATGTAAAATTGATTATAAACAGCCCCAAAAATGCAAGCTGGACAAATCCATTATACAAATTTAGCGGGTTATGGGATATATGTATAGTGTTATTATGCCTCCTTACAAATCAAATATTTTGTCTTACAAAAAATTATGCTTTATATCCATTCTTTCTCATTTAAGAAAATATAAACAAAATTCTCATTAGAATTTCCTCCATATGAAATTTAACAATTGTAATAGTAAATTGAATTCACAAAATTTAACTATATAGGAAAACAATATTATACCTTCTTTTGCAATTTTATGTGAAACATGAACTTTACAACCTCCACATCTCTTATTTACTTTGACATAGCACCTGTATGTAATGCATTAACAAAACAACAAGAGCCATGTCAACATGGCCATTCCCCCGCCGAATGTGTTTGCTCATTGGAAGAATGTATATGTAGTAGAGCAGAATAATTCCATTTTAAGAGGTCTTTTGGTAATGAAAACTGATGGCTATAGTGATTACAGATTTGAAACCTATGTGAATACTGATGGCTGAAAATAACAAAGGGCAATAACTGAAAAATAATGCAGGGTAGGTTATCATTCTTGTGTGCTGCATCCCTCCTCAGTAAAATCTATCCACCTATGAAGTTTCAAGTTGATACCTCAAATACTTTTGAGAAAAAAATTGAATTGAAAAAATAAGTATGAAAAATAACAAAGGGCAATAACTCAAAAATTATAAAAGGTACAGTTATCATTCTTGTGCAGTGCACACCTCCTGAGTGAGATATATGCACCTATGAAGTTTCATTTTGATATCTCAAAGGCTTTTTGAGTTATGCTCTGGACAAAAATTAATTTTGAAAAATAACAAAGGGCAATAACTCAAAAATAATGCAGGGTAGAGTTATCATTCTTAAGCACTGCACTCCTCCTCAATGAGATCCATCCACCTTTGAAGTTTCAAGTTGATACCTCAAATACTTTTGAGATAAGCTCTGGACAAAATAGCATGAAAAAAAAACAAAGGGCAATAACTGAAAAATTGTATAGGGAAGAGTTATTATTCTTGCGCACAACAGTCCTCCTCATTAAGATCTATCCACCTATGACATTTCATGTTAATATCTCAAACACTTTTTGAGTTATGCTCCACTCAGGTGAAAAATTAGGTATGAAAAATAACAAAGGGCAATAACTCAAAAATTATGAAAGGTAGAGTTATCATTCTTGTGCACTGCACACCTCCTGAGTGAGATCTATGCACCTTTGAAGTTTCATGTTAATATCTCATAGGCTTTTGGAGTTATGCTCTGGACAAAAATCAATTTTGAAAAATAACAAAGGGCAATAACTCAAAAATCATGCAAGGTAGAGTTATCATTCTTGTGCACTGCACTCCGCCTCAATGAGGTCTATCCACCTATGAAGTTTCAAGTTGATAACTCAAATACTTTTAGAGATATGCTCCGGACAAAAATGTCGGACGGAAGGACGGACGGACGGAAGGACGGAGACTATTTCTATATCCTCCGCCGAAAATTTTCGGCGGGGGATAACAAAAACATGGTATAATGTATGTACAATCAGATATGGCAATACATGTAATGAGACTCATAACTTTAAAATTATAAACTAACAGAAATTAAAGGTTCATTATGCCCCATACATGCTTTTATTTCCTAAAACGTTTTTATTTTTTGGTGATCTGTTATAGCTCCCAAAAAGTTACTCACTGGCTAATAACCTGAACTATCTTTTGCTTCAGTTGATTTTTGGCAGTTAGTAGTTTTAGTGATCTAGTACTTTGTATGGAAATACAACTTAAAATACTACTTTTTTGACATTTTGCTACTTTGGCTTCATATGATAAAAATCTTACATGTTCTAGAATCATTATTTAAATGTTATAAAAATAATGTTTGCCCTTTCTACAGAAACTACAAATAGTTTGTTTCTGAAGCATAATGTGCCTTTAACGAACAACTTCCTGATGTAGAATCCCTGACCATTATTGAACACAGTTGTGGACAGGTATCATTTACTAACAAAATAATGTTGCCTCAAACCTGGTGTGAAGAAACTTGATTTCTAACTACATTTGAGCCGCATCACGACAAAATCAAGTAATGCGTTTGCGACCAGCATGGATCCAGACCAGCCTGCGCATCCGCGCAGTCAGATCAGGATCCATGCTGTTCGCTTACAAACCCTATAACAAGTAGAGAAGCTGATAGCAAACAGCATGGATCCTGATCAGACTGCGCGGATGCGCAAGCTGGTCTGGATCCATGCTGGTCGCAAACCCATTATGTTGGTTTTGTTGTGACACGGCTCATTTAATAATTATAAGAATGATACTTTTCTCAAACATTTGTTTATATAATTTATTAGACATCTATAAACTAGTTGAATAGTTTCTCCAAGTAGATAAAATTTGTAGAAACTTGCTTAGCAAGAAGAGTAGAATGAATGAAATGACACTACTTTTTTATCAGACGGTAAGTATTAATATAATATCTTGTGTAAACATGTAAGTTTGGCTAGAGGAAGATATTGATTTTACTCTTGGCTTGATAACATATTGTTTGCCACTAATTGTTCCAATTAGAAAATTTGTTTAAAAAAGTAACAATCATTAATCATTCAATTTTCAAGACAAAAAACTAAAATATATATATAAATATATATACTCTCTCACAAATATCAGCATGTCGTACAAATCAACTTATTTCAATGATTTCATGTAACTTGGCAAGTTTTGCCTTTTTGGCACGAGCAACTTCAGCAGACAAGGGTTCCGACACTTCTTTAACGTCTATGACATCATTGTCTTCCATGTCAAACATTTCTGGTGTCTGACCTGGATCTAACTGTTCTCCATCAAAAACAAACTGTAAAAACTTCTGATCCTTTTTCATCCTTTTTGCGTACTCGCTAATAATATCTGATATTGGTTTTTTCTGGAAAAATAAAACATCAAAGTAAATAGTTAACTACTGAGAAGAATGTTAGGGTATGATTTATAACTTAAACAATTTTATTTCATATGAATTAAAGTAGCAGGTGTAGCAGTTTTACTCTTAGTCCCCTATATGTATCATTTAGTAACTGGAAGTGTTGGGCAATATCTTAAAAAATACTTTCCTATTAAAAACTGTCTTAAATGTGAATGTGCAATTTCCATTGTGAGAAAACAGTTTTTTTTTGTTTTTTTTTTTAAAGAAAAGCAGTTTATTGAAGGAACAATCTTACCCAATGCTCAAATCCACATTTCAAGGAAAATTATACAGAAAATTTTCCATTTAAGTTTCATTATTTTTGATGCCATTAAATACCAAATTTGAGACAGGGAACAGATATGATCAGTCCAGAAAGGAACCTTCTGCAAAACTGTTATATCTTGTCACTGAAAAGCCATAATACCATCTTTCCATTTTAACAAATTAACATGCAAATTGTCTTCTTGTCTGTTTCGATACTTAATTTAAAGCCACTATTCGCCCTGCCCGAACACTGTACACGTTATGTACAATTATCATAATAATATAACATAAAATATACAAACTATATGTGCTTTGACTAGTTCACGCTGTTTTGAGTTCTGGCCTTGAATCACTAGCTCGATGATGTTAGGATTATCCTGGTCATAACTATCATTTAACGAATCTTCCAAGCTGGATGTTATATGACATTCTGTTAAAACACAAAACAAATATAGACATGCATATAAACATTTATAGGGGTCATAACTCCCCGTTGTTGGCATATATAGGGGTCATAGCTCCCTGTTGTTGGCATGGCCGAGAGGTTAACACGTCAGACTTGTAATCTTAGGATTGCTGGCCAAGTGGGTTCATACCCTGTCAAGAACAAGCCATTGTTTCTGTGAAAACTGTTTGTTTTAGGAACAGTTTCAATAAGCATATAGCTTCCAACAAGATCACACTAAAATTAATTTGTATAAACTATAAACTAACTCCTAGATCCTAACTAAATCCGGTATGTTGTGATGAAAGTAGTAAACCAAACATTCAACCAAACTTTAAAGCATCGAAGAATATGTAAAATATGTACTGCAAATATTTTTGCATATAATATGTAATCATTAAAATATAAACTTTATAGAAAATATTTTTTTTATTACCTCCCTTTATTTACATGAAATGTTAAATTCGGTAATATCTTTATAAATAATGCTTTTTGGAACCTATAATAGTGATAAATCTTAATTTGAGCATCATATTTATGATTTAAAACCATAAAAAATTGTGTAACAGGATCTTTAATATATATTATTGTGCAAAAAAAACAAATAATACATTTAAACAAGAGGGCCATGATGGCCAAGATGTCGCTCACCTGTATATAGCCCCCCCCCCCCCCCCCCCCCCGGCCAATTTTTACCCAAGGGCTTTTATTTGTTTATTTGAACAGACTTGGTAGACAACCATATGATAAGAAGATGTTTCATGCTAAACATCTAAGTTCTAGCTCATTGGGTTTTTTAAAAGAAGATTTTTTAAGTTTTTACTATACACATATAGTTAAAAACAATGACACCCCTGGGGCAGGGACAGTTTTGACCCCCGGGCTTTTATTTAAACAAACTTTGTAGATATTTACTTAAAGATGTTTCATGCTTAATATCTAAACTCTAGCTATTTGGGTTTTTTCAAAGAAAATTTTTAAGTTTTTGCTATACACATAAATAATAAGGAAAATCAATGACCCCCGGGGCAGGGCCAGTTTTGACCCCAGGGCTTTTATTTGAACATACTTGGTAGACACCCATTAGAACATGTTTCATGCTAAATATCTTAGCTCTAGCTCTTTGAGTTCTTTAAAAGAAGATTTTTTTAAGTTTTTACTATATGCATATAGGGAAAATCAATGACCCCCTGGGGCGGGGCCAATTTTGACCCCAGGGCTTTTATTTGAACAAACTTGGTAGACACTCATTAGAAGAAGTTTCATGCTAAATATCTTAGCTCTAGCTCTTTGGGTTCTTTAAAAGAAGATTTTTTAAGTTTTTACTATATGCATATAGGGAAAATCAATGACCCCCTGGGGTGGGGCCAATTTTGACCCCCGGGCTTTTATTTGAACAAACTTGGTAGACATTCACTAGAAGATGTTTCATGCTAAATATCTAAGCCTTAGCTCTTACCGTTCTTTAAAAGAAGATTTTTTAAGTTTTTACTATATGCATATAATGAAAATCAATGACCCCCTGGAGCGGGGCCAATTTTGACCCCAGGGCTTTTATTTGAACAAACTTGGTAGACACTCACTAGAAGATGTTTCATGCCAAATATCTTAGCTCTAGCTCTTTGGGTTCTTTAAAAGAAGATTTTTTCAGTTTTTACTATATGCATATAGGGAAAATCAATGACCCCCTGGGGCAGGGCCAATTTTGACCCCAGGGCTTTTATTTGAACAAACTTGGTAGACCCTCATTAGAAGATGTTTCATGCCAAATATCTAAGCTCTAGCTCTTAGGGTTGTTTAAAAGAAGATATTTAAAGATTTTTCTTTCGGTTGCCATGGCAACCAGAGTTCTGCATGGAATTAAATTCTTTGAACAATTTTTAAAGGTGACCACCAAAGGAACATTCCTGTGAAGTTTGGATGAAATTGGCTCAGTGGTTTATGAGGAGATGTCATTTAAAGCAAAAGTTTACGGACGGACGGACGACGGACGAAAAGCGATCACAAAAGCTCACCCTGTCACTTTGTGACAGGTGAGCTAAAAAAACATAACATAACAATTCGTAAGCATAAATTTTGTATAATTTTCTGAATACAGACCATTCTCTCAAAAATTGTCCTTAATTATTTAATCTTAAAACAAAATGTATTCTGAATAAAGACCATCTGTCCATAACAACCACATTTTGGTCTCAAAATCAGTGGCCTATGATCACAGGTTTGACTGAAATTTCTCTCATTTATTTTACATGTAGGAATGAATTATCTGAGTATACCTATAATATCAGCAATTTGTAGGTCAGCTGATACAGGTGTGTCTGTAGACCTCAATGTCCGATCTTTATGTACCAACATTACACATTTCTCTTCTACTTTCTCCTTCTCAGATATCTGCGCCATTATGATGGAGAATGGATCATCCTGAAAATTTTCATTAAATGAAAAATTTTTTGTTGAAATATAATTGCTTCAAATTTGAACAAGTAAAACCATTAAATGGCCTTATTTTAATTTGTATAACATGTGAAGATATATTTTTTTACCATTGCTTTTATCATTATACCGTTTCAAGGCTAAGAAAAATAATTATCTGTCTTTTAAAATTTGAGTAAAACTGATAAATCAGAAAAGTACTAAAGCTAAATTAGTTGATAAAACTTACTTTTGAAATAGTGTATCTCAACAAAGAGCCAAGATGGTCTACCCGCACGGTTACCATATCATCCCCGTCTATGATACAAAAATCTGGTTCCTGGTTTTGTATGTGTTGAGAGGCTTTCAGTTCTTGCTGGGCAGCAGATAAACTTTTTGTGTAATTGCTAAAAGAAAATGAAATATTTGAGACACAAAAAGTGAAAAACTGTTGAAAAAAATCAACACATAAAATATGTGTGTTTTCAGTATTTAAAAGCTGATTTTAATATATTTTTGGTCACATCTTCGTGTTCGATAGTACTAACCAGCTTTGAAGCTTTCCTGGATAATTAACAAGTAATTAACAATGTCTCTGCAAATGACTTACTAGTAACTACTTATCCCAAATTTCTAAATAAATGGTGAGAGACAATCGACCAAAAGACTTGATGTCCCAGATCAACTGTCACTGGGAAGTATACATTTATTGGAGGACCAAAATAAACATACCCCTGGATTTCTAATCTGATGCTCTCTCTATAATATTGAGCTTAATGGTCGGTCAAACCATGTAACACATTAACTTATAATACATAGCATGCTAGTGATGACAATGACTGTTCTATGTCACCAGTGCATCAAACTTGCCAGTAGTTTGACCAGTATTTATCATTTAGCATTTTTGGCTGCCTATTTTTAACATTTTTTAAAAACAGACACTTAAATGTACCAAATTCAACTTGGGGCAAGTGTCTATAGTATAAAGGTGGCATGTTAAGGTTTAAAGAAAACAAGATGATAAATTCAGTAAATGAAATCGAAATTCAGTAACTAATTGAAAAACAGCTAGGATAATGATATATTTATCTTATCTTTTTAATTAAAAGTGTACAGTTCTGTGCTAATATTGAGTGCATTTTTAAGTTAAATATACCCAGTTAAATCATTAAAAGCAATCAAAAAGACAAATCTTTAATAAAAGAAATCAAAAACCAGTGAAATCAGCAATTTGTTTACACACAACATTAAATAACTTTTTCCAAGCCACCAGCATAAAATTTGGTCAATCTGCATATTTCAGCAATCAGACCAAATTGTAAACGTTGTTAAATGCTGGCATTTTATATTGTAGCTGTTAAACTAACAGATTGACAATTCTTAATTAAAAGTTAAGCTTCTGAAAATAAAAGCATCATACAGCACTGTTAATATAATATAAACTTACTCCACAGCATTTAACAGATTCTTCTTTTGTTTCGTTGCTCTAGATCTCCTCTTCTTACCATGAGCTTCAGGTGGTGGTGGTGGTGGCGGGGATGGTGATTTGAGAGCGTTAGCATTTACGTTTTCCTCACATTCATTCCTTTAACAAAGATAAAAAATAATATGCTAAATATAATATTATTGTCATCAGAATGCTCATTTCTTATAATCATCTAAACCAAAGTTGAAAAACTTATTGGACTAGAATGTCAAGCATCAAGATTTCTCCAATAAATGTCTTCAGAACATTGTCTACCATTGACTAATATGATAAAAGGTTACAATTTAAACAACAAGAACTGTCGGAGGACAGTAACGCTCGACTATTCGAAAATTTGTCACAAGGGTGTTTCATTGAGTATAATAATGCTTACCTATATGAATACATAAAATTGTCCGAAAAGGTACAAACTCTTCAAGTTTCAATACATTCCCTTCAGTAGTTATGGAGAGACAAGCTTACATGCAAAAACTTTACCAAGAATTCATGAGTCGAAAAAGGGGCATAATTATGCAAAAAAAGCAAATCAGAGTTATGGGACTTGTACCAATCATCTTAGATAATCACAGAGACTAAGTGTGTTAAGTTTCAATCCATTCCCTTCAGTAGTTATTGAGATACCAGCTTACATGCAAAAACTTAACCAAGAATTTCTAAGTTGAAAAAGGGGCATAATTATGTAAAAAAGGAAATCAGAGTTATGGGACTTGTGGCAATTATCTTAGATAATCACAGAGAACAAGTGTGTGAAGTTTCAATCCATTCCCTTCAGTAGTTATGGAGATACCAGCTTACACGCAAAAACTTAACCAAGAATTTCTAAGTCGAAAAAGGGGCATAATTATGTAAAAAAGCAAATCAGAGTTATGGGACTTGTGCCAATCATCTTAGATAATCACAGAGAACAAGTGTGTGAAGTTTCAATCAATTCCCTTCATTAGTTATGGAGATAACAGCTTACATACAAAAACTTAACCAAGAATTTCTAAGTCGAAAAAGGGGCATAATTATGAAAAAAAGCAAATCAGAGTTATGGGACTTGTGCCAATCATCTTAGATAATCACAGAGAACAAGTGTGTGAAGTTTCAATCAATTCCCTTCAGTAGTTATGGAGATAACAGCTTACATACAAAAACTTAACCAAGAATTTCTAAGTCGAAAAAGGGGCATAATTATGAAAAAAAGCAAATCAGAGTTATGGGACTTGTGCCAATCATCTTAGATAATCACAGAGAACAAGTGTGTGAAGTTTCAATCCATTCCCTTCAGTAGTTATGGAGATACCAGCTTACATACAAAAACTTAACCAAGAATTTCTAAGTCGAAAAAGGGGCATAATTATAAAAAAAAGCAAATCAGAGTTATGGGACTTGTGCCAATCATCTTAGATAATCACAGAGAACAAGTGTGTGAAGTTTCAATCCATTCCCTTCAGTAGTTATGGAGATACCAGCTTACATACAAAAACTTAACCAAGAATTTCTAAGTCGAAAAAGGGGCATAATTATGAAAAAAAGCAAATCAGAGTTATTGGACTTGTGCCAATCATCTTAGATAATCACAGAGAACAAGTGTGTGAAGTTTCAATCCATTCCCTTCAGTAGTTATGGAGATACCAGCTTACATACAAAAACTTAACCACAGGGACGCCGACGCCGACAAATGGGTGACTGCATTAGCTCGATTATTCTGCGAATAGTCGAGCTAAAAACTTGTTTGTAAGCTCAGACCCTTATATCTCAAGTACAGTCAGATTTATGCATATATTTAAATGACATTTTAAAAAGGAAACTTTCACATCTTTTAGTTAATTTTCAAGATAAAATTGGAAATTTTCGACAGAGGTTTGTCAATTTGGGTAAAGAAACTACATTCTGCTTCTTTTTCATGCAAAATCACTATTATAGACAAAGGATTTACCCGTAATTTGAGCAATTTTCATTTGTCTCTTCATCATCTGAGATAAGATTTAGCATATCTGACGTAGGTATCGAAGGTAGATCTTTCTTTGTTGTACAACGCAGTAACAAGTCATCTTCTACATCTGTAAAATAAGTAACACTGACATACACATAATAGAAATTTATGTTAAATTCTGTTTAAATTAATTTAATTGGTTGGCTTCCAGAAGTTTTACGGGCGTCCATGGCAGGGTGATTAAGGTCTTTGACTTCAAACCACTTGCCTGTCACTGCTGTAGGTTCAACCTGTGTCAAGTGTCATTGGATTCTGTATGTGAAAAAGCTATCAAGCTAGTTACAAATCATTGGTGGTTCTAGTCAGGTGCCCTTTTGTACCTGAAATAATGCACAGAGGGGCACCTGAGGTCTTCCTCCAGCAGTAAAGCTGGAAAGTTGCCATATGACCGAAACTGTGTTGATTTGACTTAAAACCCAACCAAAAGAAAAACAAAACAAAACCCAGAAGTTTTGACCATTTACAAATTAAACATTAGACTGAACAAAAACAAAACCCAGAAGTTTTGACCATTTACAAATTAAACATTAGACTTAACATTACTTTAAACTAAGTTTCAAGAAGCAGGAAAGGAAAGAACCAAATATATATTCCAATACTATATGTAAGTTACACATGCTTAAAGTGTATAAAGCTATATATCTGATGCAAAAATTATTGTTTGGATTTAAAAAAAGAATACATCTAAAATGTTTGTCTGAAATTAAAAAGGCATTTAATTGCCTTAAAGCGAGTGGTGCATGCACAAAGTCACTGCTAAACAGAAAAAAACCCTACTTAAAATAGCAAAATAATATTTTGTTCCGAAACATTTTATTCTGTTTACGTACATTATTCATGTGTATTAAATAACAGAGACATTCTATGTTACAAATTTTTTGGTAATTAGCCATATAATAATGGAACCAATATAATTTTACTGTTGATAAATTTTATAAAAATATTTCATAAGATATAGATTTATACCCTTTACTGTCAATGTTTACAAGAGTAAATAATTGACAAGTCAGGAAAAATTATTTTCAAACATTCTTTTTTTTCTTTACCTTCCTCATCTTGAAGTGCAGACTTCATTGCATTATCAAGTGTGTGTGCCTTAATCTGGTCAAAACATTTAGTAACACATCCAGAATAAAATCCTGTGTTAACTGGTTGCTCTTTAATCGTGTTGGTATTTTTCTTTCTTCTGGCAAATCCTCGAACGCCTGACCTGGGCTTTGTAGCCTGCACTTCCTCTTTATCATTTTCATTTGAACTCTGTGACAGATATAAATTAAGTAAATTAGGATTAAATCTAGCATTATATTAATGTTTATAATTAGCACCTATATAAATAGAGTTAATTTTACAGTTTCTTTAAAATTTATTCACATGCATTATTAGCCTTTCCCCAGCTGTCAGACACAGATTCTACCTTTACAACCACTGCCGTATAAACATGGTTTGCACTGTTCACTACTCATTCAGTGCATCTATGCCATCTTTTAACATTTTCCCTTAAACTGATGAATAGTTTTGTTCAGATTGAGAGATGGGCAAGTCCATAACCATTTGTGATATTTAGAAAACAAAGTGAATAAGTATTTACAGTATAAAAGAACATATTAAATTAGAACTCAAACCATTACCAGTTATGTTACTGGACTTAAAAGATTATGTATTTTGTAATGCTAGAGTTATAAGAGAATCACAACCAGAAATATCTGAAGGTTATAATAAACAAACTGCAGAAACTGTCACAAAATCAGGTTTTTGCATTGTTGGCAAATTTTCTAAACAAGCAATCTATGTTTTTCAACAGATATGTTTTAAAAACATTATTTTCTGAAATATCCTTTTTTTCACAATTTTAAATATTTTTAAAGAACATCATGTCGTTAGAATTTTCATTTTTGCTCTTATATTTAAATTTTGCCCTTTTCTTGAACACTTACCTAATTTGCATATAAAGCAAACTATATCGAGTTCTGCTGAGACATGTTTTAATTGTAGCGAGAAGGGTTTACATAGCGTGTTTCTGGACCATTCTATGTAAAGGACCCTGGTAGGAGTTATAAACTCTTATTTCATGCTTTAAAGTGTTTTAACTTTTATTGTAATATATCAGATAATTATATTCTGATAAACCACAAGTGAAATTTATAAAATATAATTTTCACTGTAGCTGGACTATATCTGAATGCGGGTGAAAAGAAAATCATAACTATTTGAAATGGAATAACAGGCAGAAATAAATGCTGTCATGCGTAAATTTTGCTTCATTAGGGAAAGAAAGTCGATGTCACCATACATCATATTAAAAATGGGTCAAAGACAGAAAAGGCCGGGTTGCATTTGTACACCAAATATCATGAGGCTGTGATGTTACGAAAAAAAATTTCCATTGACCCGTTAATGTCGAAAATTTAATTCAGTAGGGTATACAGGAAGTGGATGAGCTACACACCTAAAATCGAATCCCACAGTATGGGGCCATGTGTCAATGCTGTATGCCAAATATCAAGAGGCTGTGATTAGTAGTTTCTGAGAAAAATGTTACGAAAATTTCCTACCAGTGACCATAAATGTGAACAGGAAGTGGATGAGCTGCTGACTTGAAATCGAATCCCACAGTATGGGACCATGTGTCAATGCTGTATGCCAAATATCAAGAGGCTGTGATAAGTAGTTGCTGAGAAAACTGTTACGAAAATTTCCTACCATTAACCATTAATGTCAAAAAATCTAACTAATTTAACTAAGTGGATAAACAGGAAGTGGATGAGCGACAGACCTGAAATCAAATCCCACAGTATGGGACCATGTGTCAATGCTGTATGCTAAATATCAAGAGGCTGTGATAAGTAGTTGCTGAGAAAACTGTTACGAAAATTTCCTACCATTGACCATTAATGTCGAAAAATCTAACTAATTTAACTAAGTGGATAAACAGGAAGTGAATGAGCGACAGACCTGAATCAAATCCCACGGTATGGGACCATGTGTCAATGCTGTATGCTAAATATCAAGAGGCTGTGATAAGTAGTTGCTGAGAAAACTGTTACGAAAATGTCCTACACTTGACCATTAATGTCGAAAAATCTAACTAATTCAACTAAGTGGATTAACAGGAAGTGGATGAGCGACAGACCTGAAATCCAATCCCACAGTATGGGACCATGTGTCAATGCTGTATGCCAAATATCAAGAGGCTGTGATAAGTAGTTGCTGAGAAAACTGTTACGAAAATTTCCTACCATTGACCATTAATGTCGAAAAATCTAACTAATTTAACTAAGTGGATAAACAGGAAGTGGATGAGCGACAGACCTGAAATCAAATCCCACGGTATGGGACCATGTGTCAATGCTGTATGCCAAATATCAAGAGGCTGTGATAAGTAGTTGCTGAGAAAACTGTTACGAAAATTTCCTACCATTGACCATTAATGTCGAAAAATCTAACTAATTTAACTAAGTGGATAAACAGGAAGTGGATGAGCGACAGACCTGAAATCAAATCCCACGGTATGGGACCATGTGTCAATGCTGTATGCCAAATATCAAGAGGCTGTGATAAGTAGTTGCTGAGAAAACTGTTACGAAAATTTCCTACCATTGACCATTAATGTCGAAAAATCTAACTAATTTAACTAAGTGGATTAACAGGAAGTGGATGAGCGACAGACCTGAAATCCAATCCCACGGTATGGGACCATGTGTCAATGCTGTATGCCAAATATCAAGAGGCTGTGATAAGTAGTTGCTGAGAAAACTGTTACGAAAATTTCCTGCTATTGACCATTAATGTTGAAAATTTAACTAGGTCAGCAAACAGGAAGTGGATGAGCGACAGACCTGAAATCGAATCCCACAGTATGGGACCATGTGTTGATGCTGTATACCAAATATCAAAAGGCTGTGATACGTAGTTGCTGAGAAAACTGTTACGAAAATTTCCTACTATTGACCATTAATGCTGAAAATTTAAGTAGGTCAGCAAACAGGAAGTAGATGAGCGACAGACCTGAAATCGAATCCCACAGTATGGGACCATGAATTGATGCTGTATACCAAATATCAAAAGGCTGTGATAAGTAGTTGCTGAGAAAACTTTTACAAAAGTTTTTTCCCCGCCCGCTTGCGCCCGGACGCCCGCCCGCCGCCGCCCAACATTCACCATACTATAACCCGGGTTTGCACCAGTGCAACCCGGCCAAAAATGTAACAAAATTAGAGAAATTTAACAGAACTATATTTCAAAATTGATGATGAGACGTCATGATGTGATGACGTCACAAAGGAGAATGCGTGACGTTACGCGGCAAAATCAGTAAAAATACTTAAAATCACTTAAATAGCATGAAATAAAAAGAAAATTTATTTGTTTTAATAAGATTGAAATTTATTTCATTCATGAACACCAGCTATTATATTTTCACTCGTGGCTTCGCCACTCATGAAAATATTGCATCTGGTGTTCACTCAGTGAAATTATATTTCAATCTTACATGCAAAACAAACAAATATCCTCTATCTAATTAGCCTTTTTTTTTTATCTCCTTTGTAGAACCGAATTATAAAGTCCTACCTAGGAGTTATAAAGTCCTACCTAGGAGTTATACACTCTTAATTAGGCGCCTATTTTATCCTCTTTACCTTTACCTTCGTCTGAGCATTTAAGCCAAGATGGCTTGTAAGCTCCTCCTATACAGTATTATCAAGGATAACTTCAATAAATGTCACTTGTATTAAATCTTTTACTTTTCCATCTCCAGTTGAGTAGAGTTTTAAATGTCAAGATACTTTCTTACATAGGAGTTATCTTTTTTTATAGAACATGTTAAATTGGCACCAGGATGAATCCGTATTCTTGCATCTAAAATTGTTTGGTTTCTTTTAAATTTACATGAAAACAAGAACGTGTTTGTTAAACACAAATGCCCCCGGCTCAGATTCTTGTCAGTAGCAATACTTCAAAAAATGTTTACCCATTCACTCAGTTATGGACAGAAAAATCGCCAAAAAATTGTAAACACAAGTTTTATAACTTGACAAAGTCATGGCATTTTGTAATTGTGAAAAATATAAGTTGCCTAGTCATTGCTCTGACTTGTGAAGTTGAAAAATATTTAACTTCATGCAAGTTATCTTCCTACCAAATATGAAATACAGATTCTTGTCAGCAGCAGTATTTCAAAAAATGTTTACCCATTCACTCAGTTATGGACAGAAAAATTGCCATAATATTGTAAACACAAGTTATGTAGCTTGAAAAAGTCATGGCATTTTGTAATTGTCAAAAAATGTTGCCAAGTCATTGCTCTGACTTGTGAAGTTGAAAAATATTCAACGTCATCCTACCAAATATGAAATACATCTGTCATTAAATAAAGGCTGTATGGGCAAAAGTGTAAAAATCTATTTTGAGCACTGGTGACCTTGATCAAACTGACCCCTAACTCTATCCAAAAGAAGAATACCATGTAAGTTATCTTCCTACCAAATATGAAATACATCTGTCAATAAATAAAGGCTGTATGGGCAAAAGTGTAAAAATCTATTTTTAGCACAAGTGACCTTGACCCAACTGACCCCTTACTCCATCCAAAGGAAGAATACCATGCAAGTTATCTTCCTACCAAAAATGAAATACAACTGTCAATAAATAAAAGCTGTATGGGCAAAAGTGTAGAAATCTATTTTTAGCACAAGTGACCTTGACCCACTGATCCCTACCCCAATCAAAAGGATGAATACAATGCAAGTTATCTTCCTACCAAATATAAAATATATCTGTCACTTAATAAAGGCTGTATGAGCAAATGTGTAAAAATCTATTTTAGCACTGGTGACCTTGACCCAACTGACCACTAACTCCATCAAAGTTTATGTTTCTATCAATTATAAATAATATCTGTCTATAGAATAAGGTCAATACACCTGTAAAAATGTAAAAATCTATTTTTAACATTGGTAACATTGACCTTGACCCAAATGACCCCATACTACACCCAAAGAAGGAGGTGTTTGTATTAAACTAAGACATCAACTAAACAAGAGGGCCATGATGGCCCTGAGGTCGCTCACCTGTATATAGCCCCCCCCCCCCCAGGGCCAATTTTTACCCAAGGGCTTTTATTTGTTTATTTGAACAGACTTGGTAGACACCCATAAGAAGATGTTTCATGCTATACATCTAAGTTCTAGCTCATTGGGTTTTTTAAAAGAAGATTTTTTAAGTTTTTAACTATACACATATAGTTAAAAACAATGACACCCCTGGGGCAGGGCCAGTTTTGACCCCCGGGCTTTTATTTGAA